AGTCTACCTGAGCAGGGGGTGCAAGGGGCGGGTAAGTACTTCCACCTTCTCTGTGTGCTCAGAGTTTCTTAAAAAACTGAACTGGAATGAACCTAAGTTCCTCAGTTGTCACAAATGTACCATTCTGGTGGGGAACACAGATCGGGGGGAGGCTATGTATGTGTGGGGGCAGGGGGGTTGGTGGGAAATCCTTGTACTTGCTGTGATGCTAAAGCTACTCTTTTAAAAAAAATTTTTTAAATGCAAAACATTAGCCTGGAAATGAAGTTATAATTTTAGTATTTGAGGAGAAACTTGATTTTAAAAGAATAATTAACAGGTTTATATAACTTTTCATTTAACCTGCTTATATAATACATGTAATACCTTGAAGGTATATGGCATCTGTTTACAAGTCATTGTGAAAGAATATGAAAATAGCCAGCTTGTGAAGAACAAGTACAAAAATTTTTAGTGCAAATTATCTTAAAGGAAACCTTATGAAAAAATTTTTGTTACTGAAGATGTTGCCAAATTAAGTTTGACATGTTCCCCACTAGATTCTAGTGGGAATCCCCACTAGATTCCCCATTAGATTCAAAGTCATAGCTTTGAATCTAATAAACAAGAGCTCTCTCATTAATCCATTTGATGTTTCTAGTTTAAAAGTTGAGCACTTTAAATATTTTCAAAAGTTTTATCCTGTTGGAGTTGTGATTTTTTATAATTCAAAGATGAAGCCAAAGGCAGTGTACTGCCCACCCCTGTGTGAATGATTGCCAGGGGGCTGTTCTTGACAACTTAATCAGAGAGAGCACTGAAAAATTCCAGAAAAAGGTTTTTTAAATATTTATTTATTTTTTTAGAGAGAGGGGAAGGGGGGGAGAAAGAGAGAGAGAAACATCAGTGTGAGAGAGAAACATTGATCCCTCGCCTCTAACATGCACCCCCGACTGGGGACTGAACCTGCAACCTAAGCATGTGCCCTGACCAGAGTTGAACTGGCAACCTTTTGCTTTGCGGGACGCTGCCCAACCCAGCTGAGCCGCACTGGTCCGGGCTGCAGAAAATTTTGACTGGCTACAATGTTCAGCGTCTTGTGGTAGGATGGAGTGGGCTGAGGGTAGAAGGGATGAAATACGGAGGGAAGATGAGCTGGTCCCCACCTTCAAGCAGCACCCAATGTAACTGGACTCCAGGACTGGGTGTGGGACTAGGCATGGTAAATTTGAAAACAGTCTTCCTTATATCTGCCAATATTAGAAGTATGGCATTGAAGGGCTTAGATATTTCATTAAAAGTAATGAGTGTTTGCATGTGTGGTTCTATAACTTCAGAAAATAATACAATAATTAATAAATAATACAAAAATAAGCTCTGTTTTGCATACTCACAACTGAAAGCTACCTTTGCTCCACCCTGTATAAGACTGTCAAGTTTGTAGAAAAGTTCTGGAGGTTAAATGAAAATAGCTCATTTTTTGAAGCTAGTTACATTTATAGTAATGTGTATCAGCTGGTAGTTTAATTAATTATGCTAAAATTTGAGAAATATCTACATACATTTGTGATAATAAAAATATCCATTTACTTACTATTTCTCAGTAATTGTTTTTTTTTCTTTTCTTTTTTTTGTTATTCAAGTACAGTTGTCTCCATTTTCCCCCCACCATTCCCCACCACCCCAGCCATCCCCACCTCCCTTCCCTGATCCCACCACCCTTGGTTTTGTCCATGGGTCCTTTATATATGTTCCTGAAAACCCTTCCCCTTCTTCCCCCCATTATTCCCTCCCACCTCCCCTCTGGCTATTGTCAGTTTGCTCTTAGTTTTAATATCTCTGGTTATATTTCTCAGTAACTGTTTTTATGATTCTCTGTGCTTTGGCAAATCAGCAAACTTTGGGGTTTGTATTTTTTACTTAGCTTGAATGTGTACAATGTTGTACTATGTTTGAAATAAGATTAAGCTTCTAACTTTACTTCCATAATATAAATGACAGGTACAGGAGTATGTAATTTATAGATTTTGTCCTGGTTTGTTTGGTGTCTAACCTTTCTGATCCACAAAATCCTAGCAACATTTTAAGTATCCCCTGGTAACTATACAAACGAAACTCTTTTTATCACACTTTAAATGTCCTAATTGATTTCCATGTCTGTGGCTTGGTTCGGAAATTAGGGGATTTAGTTTCCTTCCCCTGGCTAGGTTCCTGAATTAATCATTTATTTTCTGCTTACATAGTTGTTGATGTCAAATTCCTTTTCAGTTCTGCTTTTCTTACCATATTTATTCTTTGGGGACAGAGAGGGAGTGGGGTGAGGAGGCACTGTATGTGTATTTTATTGCCCAGCAACCTAGAAGTATAAGGATAAGTAAGGTAAGGTCCTTAAAGAGAAACTCAGACCAAAGATATTTCACTGGAAAAATTAAAGTAAAACCAGTAGCCACATGGAACAGTATTAATGCTTGTGTTTACAATTTTTGTTCAGCCTCATTTGGTCTTCTGTATAACACGGCCTCTCTCTAGAATGTACGCACCATGGGAGGAAATCTCTTGTCTATTTTGTTCTCTGACACCCTGTGATCAGCATCTGACACGGTACAGATGCCCAGCAATGATTTGTTGGTTAGTTCAACCAACGAATGAATGACACATTTCACTGGCAGTTTCTGGTCCTCTATATTTTATTTACTTTACCGAACCTTTTGGTTGAGACTGTTAAAAAGTGAGGGAAGAACTGATACTAAAATGTGTTGTTTCTAAATGATTCTAATTCTTGCTATTTAAAAATGCTATCATGGAAACTTTTTTCCCTTTAGAAATTTGTCTCAAATTATGAAGTTATCTATCTGTTATGGGCAGGGTGAAAGCATTTCTATCTCTATAGTAGAGTGATACCTGGATATCTTGACTGCTCGTGGTGCAACTTATGCATTTGAAAAATACTTTTATGGTTTTTTTTAGTTTCATGGGACATACATTTAGGGAAGTTTTGCTCAGATGTATTTGAAGAATATATGAGACAAGCTTTCTTTTCCTCTTATAGGTTTGTATAATGTATCAGGATAGTTTGGGGTTACTAATAGGTTTATATAACTTAAGGTAGATTAAATAGTTTTAAAGAGATTTTAAAATGTATTAGTTTTTTAAATGATGCTTTTCCTCAAAAGAAGCATTATGAGAAAGAGAATAACTTACATGCAAGTCAGAATTCTCCATTTCAAGAATAAACACAAAATCGTAATAGTAATTCTGCTGGAACAGTGGTTCTCAAATTTGGTTTCAGGGACCCTTTACACTCTCAAAAATTATTGAGCTTTGTTTATGTAAGTTATGTGTATCTATATTTCCTGTGTTAGAAATTGAAATGGATAGAATTTTCAAATACTTCTTAATTTCTTTAAAAATAGAAATAGACTATCATATGTCAGCCTAAATAGCATTTTTATTTTAAAGTGTATTTCCAAAACAAGTTTTAGTGAGAAAAATAGTATTGTTTTTTGCAAATCTCTCTGATGTCTGGCTTAGTAGAAAACTGGATTCTTACGTCCACTTTTGCTTAATGTGTTTCAATACAGCATTTTAATGTATCCTCTGGAAAACTCCACTGTGTACTAGTGAGGGAATATGAGCAAGAAAGGCAAACATTATCCTGGTGTTATATGAGTGGGGCTTCCATCTCACAGGCCCCTGAAAGGGCCTTGGGTCACCTTCGGAGAACCACTCTCCAGAGCGTGTGGACTGGGCGGGGAAATAGCAAGGTGGCAAGCACCTTGCTTGTTCTTTTGTATTATTTCTATGTTATATTTGAATGTTTTATAGTGAACATAATCCTTTTGTCATTTCTTAACTTTTTTACTGGTTTTTAGAGAGAGGGAAAGGGAGGGAGAGGAAGAAAATGTCAGTGTGAGAAACATCGCTTAGTTGTCCTGGCTGGGCATCACACCCGAGACCTTTTGGTTTACAGGACGACACTGCGACCAACTGAGCCACACCAGCCAGAGCCACATTGTTATTTCTAATCACTGCATGGTATTTCCTTATAAGTTTGTACCATTCTTACATAGATTAGATATTTTCTACTACAATAAATAATGCTTTAGTAAACATATCTGTTCTTACATATTTGCATAAGAATCTGATTATTTCCTTAGGGTGACAACTTAGCTGTGGAATTCCTGCGTTTATGAGGCATCTGCTGGTTTCCCAAAAATTTTTAAATAAAATTGTAAAATTTTTCTTCAGATAGACTATACCCAATTTATACTTCTTTTCCCCTGACCCTAATCCATTCTTGAACCTAATGGTTTCAAAAAAATCATTATTATTTTGCTTTTCATTACTTAGAATACATGAGGTTGAGGTAAACGTCTTTTCAGATGTTTTGTGAGAGTTCCCTGTTCATGGACTTTGCCTTTTTTCTGTTAGAATGCCACCTTACTGATCAATGAATTATCCAGATCAATGAAGACTCTGTATAGTCTTTGTAAAGGACATCTTCTGTTTATTGTACTTGATGAAATGTTTTCTTCTCTGTGCATTTAAGAATTTTCCTAAGATACTATAATTACAATGTTATAATATTTAATTATCTCATAAGGATTATAAGAAACTCTAGAAACTAAATGGTATTAAGGCTCTGGGCTTTTTGATTTAGAATTTTCTTTTCATATAGTGCCATTGTAGAGGTGAGCAACTATTCATATGTAAAGCTATGTCTGCGTAGTAGATGTACCATTCTTATGAAGTTACGATTTTTAATTCGTGTGATCTCTGACTCCTTCTCTAAGACTGAGACCAGCATTGCAGGAGCAGTTCGGCAGCAGGTCGGTAAGAGGGGACGGCAGACCCAGTTCTGGCTGAGGTTTTCCTGACTGTCGCAGCTGCCAGTGTTCTGCTCAGGAGCCCGCAGTCTCTAACACGGCCCGCTGTTTTTACTGTGATCTGTGCGCCCTCACCCCGTGCCCATCCACGTGAGAAATGGCGGTCTAACCCAGGTTGTCTTTCCATTTATCCAGAGTATCCACATACTGGAGAGGACTGCTTCCTCTGGAACCGAGCCCTCTGTCAGTCGGCAGTTGCTAGAACCGGAGCCAGTCCCCCTCTCCAAGGTCAGTGATGGAACTCAGTGCTCTCTCGGATAACATGAGGCCAGCCCTGGGCCAGTTGAACTGTAAATCACTCAACCCCAGCCTCCCCTAGGGTAGCTGAGGCGCCCCCTGTAGGGCTGCTCCTACACTTCTTTCTGCCTACAGTCTTTAGGGTTTCTCTGCCTCCTGTACAGAGGGAAGACTTAAAAGTATATTTGCTGAGCTTTTCAGGGTTACGTACAGAAGTCCAGCATTCACTTTATGAAGGAAAAAGGGCAAAAGAAACTATTGTCACTCCCTGTTGGAAAGATAAGAAAATATTTCTGTACCAAACTAATAGGAAAATAACTGAGTCCAGAAATAATAATAACAACAGCTACCATGCTTGCCTGTGCGCTGCATACCAGGCACTACACTCAGTGCTAAAATATATTATCCAATTTGATGTAAGCCTCTGGGCAGCCGTATGCAGCACAGGTATTTATTACATTTTATAAATATAGGGGCTGAGAATTCATAACTTGCCCAAAGTCAAATACAGGCTGCTAAGGAGAAGAGCAGGGATGCAGACTGAGACCTGTTGAAGCTGCACCCCACCTGCCAGTGCAGCAGCAGCTGCGCCGGGGCTGCTGCACATGCAGCGTTCCAGGCTCCTGACAGCTGGCCTTCCTTGCAGTGAGCCGACGAGAACACTGCAGATTATTAAGACTTTTTCTGTCTCATGAAAGCCAGTGTCCCCACCCCATCAGCCTTCTCTTCCTATGACTAGGCAAATATCTGAGTTTGTTTTTGTCGAAAATGCAAAAATCATAAAGAAAAGTCAAGGAAACGTCATCCTGCTCACCCCCACCCCTAGCCCAACTGCCTGAGATTTTCAGTGGGCTGCCCCCCCTAGGGAGAAACTCAGAAAACAGAATGCCTGGGGATTTTGCAATCAAATATAAAAAAATAGCACTTTATTTGCAAAACAGTTTAACTTCCAAGGGTGTATAACTGATCCATCCACTTTCCTTATCCTTAATTAAACAAAATCCTTGAAGAAAAGAACTCTCTACTACCCCAGTAGCATGGAATATGTGCACTACCTTTTTATATTTTGAAGCAATTACAAGCTATTAGGTTTATTCTATCAGATAGGAATAGGCTGCTCACCTAAGGAAAGAGGGAATTATTAAATTATAAAAAATTTAAAAGTGATCTGATTTCTCTTTGAATGGCAAATAAAGAACGTCTACTTGGTAAATATAGCTAGTGAAACATCAGTTTTTTCTTGTAGGCAGCTAGAGGAGAGAGAAGAGAAGGAATAAATACAGGGGCAATGCAAAGGGCAGCTAACATTGGTTGGGCAGCTAACATTGGTTGGACACGCACCCCAATGAGCCAGGCACTGGGTTAGTTCATATATTCCCTCACCTGGGCAGCTTTCAACTCAGTGGAGTGAGTACTGATAATACCCTCATTTTGTTGATAAAGAAACAGAGACTTGGAGTAGTTGTCCAGCGTCAGATAGCTGAGACTTGTGTGACAGAGCAGAGGGGAAAGAGACTGTGATAGCGAGAGATACGCAGAGAAAGAAGGCTTGGAGAACGATACACAGAAACAGAAAGGAGAGGTGCTGGTAGTAAAACAAGGAATAGGGAGCAATATGCACACAAGATTTGCTCTAGCCCCTTCCCTCCCACCAGCTGCATCTCTAGCTCCTTTGGCATCTCACTTGGTAGCCCAGCTACATCCACCTGCACGCAGTTCCCTGCAGTGGCCATGCACCTTCCTCCACAGCTGGGTGTCTGCTCCCTGCTCCCGGCTCCCCTCCCCTTCCTTGACCCAGCAAAACCTCCAACTCTCCTTTCAAGTTGGGCTCACAGGAACCCTTTTTCAAATGCTGATCCCCTCCCTACCCAACCTCAGCCCCAGAGCATCCGATGTAACCTGTGCTGCAGTTAACACATTAATTTATTTGTTTCACATTCTTTCTCACATCAGGTTCTCTAGAAGGACATCCTGGCACCGTACTGAAGGTGCTTGTGATTTGCCCAGGGAGAGTGCTCAGGAGCAAGGGGCGAGGGGGTTGGGCAGGTGTGGTGCTAAGCAAGAAGGGCGTTCAGCTGGAGTCCAGGGGCAGCCTGATCCTGGGCAGCTTGGAGGCATGAATTATACCAAAGAGTTGGTCTCACCCTGAGGCAAGGAGGACTTTTTGTTCCCTCAGCCCTTTGTACCCTTGTGTTATTAAGTCACTGAGAGCCATGCGGGGGAGGCTGCAGCATAATTTCCCAGGCAGGGGGCCCCAGGTTGGCAAAAACACAGTTGCCTGTTAGCCTTAGCAGTTCCCAGTGCTCACAGCTGCTGGGGCCTCTGGCCTGACCCAGGATCTGGGTAGGGCACCGACAGCATCCACTTCCACTGCTCCTCCATGCTGTGGTCTGCATGGATCTTGCTGTAGGACTAATACTCTTTGTGTTTTTGCATTAATAGATGTCACATCTTTGGGAGTCCCCGTGAAATCAGAGGATCCCATCTAATCCAGATACCATAGTATCTCACCACCTCTAGGCTCTTTGAAAGAAGTTGGGTGTCCTGGGCACTGGTTGATGGTGGAAGAACATTGTTAGAAGTGCACATTGTCCTGTCTCAGGATTTGTGTGGATGCTTTGGTACTTACACCTCCTAAAGCATTTTCCCACATACCTGCCCACCCGCACATGCACGCACAAAGACTATACCCTCAAGAAAGGAAAAGTCTTTTTTTTTTTTTTTCATATGAACAGACTAGGGCTGTTATTAGGTTACTTCCTGTGTTTAGTTACTATTATTAGATCAAAAGTAGTACTGAAACCTCTATATAGCAAAAATATTTATATATCTGATGAGTCAGATACAGGCATGATCACATTAGGCTTTTGGCTCTGTTTCTATTATAAGTAAACCAATGAAAATTGAAGAGTTTTAAGCAGAAAATTAATATCAATTGAAATCATGAAAAAAAATTCTTCAATTTTCAGAGAGTAATTTTAGCTTTTTTAAGATAGACCTGGTCTATTTTAGAGACAGGTTGTGCAAAATACTGAGCTGGGACGCTTCATTTCTTACAGACTGTTTGTATCATTGCTATCAGCATTTGTAGTTGAAATAGGGAGAATGTTGTTTGCTCTGGCTTTATCTTCGCCTCTTTGTCAGTTTGACAGCTTACTAAACTGCAGGAACTCTGCGAGGACTCTTCTCAATTTCTTTTGCGGTGTTTAGTAATTCTGCATCAGAGCAAATGGAATTACTTGTTCAGAGCTGCATCCCTTACAATTAAATAACAATTTTACTTTTTGCCTCTTCTGCCTTATCCCTCGTTTCCTCTTCAGTTAAATTCAGAGAGAAGGAAAAAATGACAAGCAGTTATTGCAGTCTGAGCTTAATTAGAAAAGTGTCAAAACACATTTATACTTATTAAATGTTTCCACTTTCACAAGAAATTCAGAATATTCATCATATACACACACAGACAGAGAAAAAACCAGAGATGACCACTAGCCTTAAAATAAGGTAAGATCCAGCCAGTAATAAAAATGCTGTCGCCCTGGCTGGTGTAGCTCAGTGGATTGAACACAGGCTGCGAACCAGGCATTGCAGGTTCGATTCCCAGTCTGGGCACATGCCTAGGTTGCAGGCCATGGCTCCCAGCAACCGCACATTGATGTTTCTCTCTCTCCCTCTCTAAAAATAAATAAATAAAATCTTAAAAAAAAAATAAAAATGCTGTCCTTTTAGCGATGCTGCTCCTGGCTGGGACTGCCAGAAACAGAACTGTCACTAAGTACAGCTGGTATCTAACAACAAGGGGGCCTCCAATGAAGTTGTGCATTTACTTACACATTTATGGAGAGTTAGTCTTTTAGTTTCTTGATTATATCAAACTTTTAAAAGAAGTCCATCATCTTTATGGAATCAAAATCCATCATTTTTATTTACCTTTTTAGTGAGAGTAGAAAGCCAAAGATGCTGTACTTTGTATAAAACCTGTTTTCCTCTATTATTTTAATATTATTCATAAACTGTATTCACTTGTTGAATGGCAGCTCACTGTTAAAACGTGAGGCTGCTAAAGCACTCCCCTCTGTTCTAGACGGTCATGCGACCTGCAGGAGTGTCGTCCAAAAACCTGGTCTACAGCCTGAAGTTGTCTCATCAGAAACACTTTTTAATTACTTTATCTAATTAACAGCTTTGAACAGATCTATCGCAGTTTCCAACAACATTATCAAGTAGAAAATCACTTTTGGGAGGTTTTTTTCTATATAAGGGGAAATTTACAGACCTTTCTTTTCTTTGTTTAAAATAACAGTTTTAGTAATATATAATTTTACAGAACTTTTAAGGGTTCTTAATGTTGCCAAATAAAAACTGGTAGATGGGTCTCTGTGAGGTATGTAGTTCATTTGCTCGGTACACCTCAGGTGACAAAGAAGATGAAAAAGTGACCTCGGTCTCGGGTTAATTTCCGTGGGGACAGGGGGTACCTGTGTGTTGTCGGGCTGGGCTCAGGTAAGACAGCAGCACGGGGCTGGCTTTAGCGGGCTTTTCAAAAGCCGGGAGTGTCTCACGGCCTTCATCAAGCAATGTTCAGCCACATCTTCTGGAAACAATTTTCTGTGAAAATTCTACATAGATTGTAGACATATCTTGAACATAGATTTAGTGTGGCCACAGAACAGGCAGTTTCTGGGATGAAAAGAGAAAAAAGGGAAAAGAGGCGTGGGTGGCAAATGCGCAGCCGACATCGGTAAACGACTGGGGCACCTTTGCCCAGGGGCCTCGTCAGAGCCTCACAGCCCGTCAGCGGGTCTGGGCAGCCACCACCCATGCGTTTGGGCCAGCCTGGCCCTCTGCCCTGGAACCCATTGGCCATTCCTGTTGAAGCCTCTGTTCTGTGATCTGTGGGTGATTTCTGATAGAACATGTGTTTTCGGAGGCACCTTCCTGAGTCAGTTTTGGATGGGGCATCATGCCGAGGGGCCTGACCCAGTAGATAGATATCTGCATGAGCTGCATCCAGCTTTGTGCAGCTGAGGCAGCAGATCGGATTACAGAGAGAGTCTGCTTCCCTGCACTGTGGGCGGGCTGTAGTGGTTCTGCCTGGGATGTGAAAAACAACCCGAAAAGTGATTTCTATACATGGCCTCTAAATTATTCTGCACTTGGATTTATTGATGATAGCCATTGTGACAGGTGTGAGGTAATAATCTCATTGTTGGCGAGGGTGTAGAGAAAAGGGAACCCTCTTGCACTGTTGGTGGGAATGCAGACTGGTGCAGCCACTGTGGAAAAGAGTATGGAATTTCCTCAAATAATTAAAAATGGAATTGCATCATGATCCAGCAGTGCCACTTCTGGGTATATATCTGAAGAAACCCAAAACACTAATTTGAGAAAAATATATGCACCCCTATGCCATTGCAGCGTCATTTACAATAGCCAAAATTTGAAAGCGACCCAAGGGCCCATCAATAGACAAGTGGATAAAATAGTGGTGATACAAATATGCAATGGAATATTATTACTTGGCCGTAAAAAAAAGAATGAAATCTTACCATTTGTGACATGATGGATGGACCTAGAAGGTATTATACTAAGTGAAATAAGTCAGACAGAGGGAGATTAATACCATATGATTCCACTTATATGTGGAATCTAAAGGACAAAATAAATGAGTAAACACAACAAACAGACTCATAGACATAGAGAACAGACTGACGGTTGCCAGAGGGGAGCGGGTTTGGGGGACTGAGTGAGAAAGGGGAAAGGATTGAGACGTACAGACTGTTATGTACAACCCATGAACACTGACAACAGTGTGGGAATCGACTTGAGGTGGGTCTGGGTAGAGGTGGGGAAAGGGAAAAAAGTGAGAACAACTGTAACAGCCCAAACAATAAAAAAGAAATTTAAAAAGAAGTACAAATTGGTAGTTTCAAAATAGTCACAGGGATATAAAGTACAGCGTAGAGAACACAGTCAGGAATTTGCCATGACTGTGTGTGGTGCCGGGTGGGCACTGGCAGTATCAGGGGAGCACTTGTAAAGTACCTGATTGTCTGACCACTCCGAGGTACACCTGAAACTCATACGAAATAGTACTGAATGTAAAAAAAATCATTTCAGAAATATGCTGCACATGATTACTTTAATCCCACAATTTTTCCTCAAATTAAATGTGTATGAAGATTATCAAATAAACAAGGACTGTTTTATTTACAAAAAATATATACAATTACAGAATGATTGCTGGAGGTCTAGAGTAAGGGTGCCAGGCCACCAGGGAGTTTGGAGCTGGGCCCCTAGAAATCACCCGGATGTTGCCGAGGGCCCGGCAGCTGCCACGGGCATCCTTCTCTCCGGGCAGGTGCAATGCCGCCAGATCTCACAGGCTTTCCCAAAACACTAGAAACCTGGACTTTCAAAGTCTGAAAGCTTCTGATTTATAATGTTGACAACTCATTAAAAAATTATAAACACCACAAGCAAACAAAATATGTTCAATGGGAGAGGAAATGATGATTTAGTCCATTTTTTTAACAGAGGAAGATGACAGTGTGAGCTCCAGCATCCCAGATACCTGGCCTTGCCGTCTGGTGCTTTTTCCAAGGGCTGCCATGGTGGGCGGGGTGGGTCTCAGGAGGAGTGTCTTCGAAAGCATGGACTTCTTGTTGTGCGTCTGGCCAGCAGGAGGTTTTATGTGCACTCTGAAATGCACACAGTCTCACTGCAGAGAATCAGATGTCCACAGAGCCGTTCTTCAGTTTAATAGGTTATGAAGCACTCAGACCACTGCAGCCTTTCCATTTCTACACAGAAAGCGAGGTCCCTGCACTAATTGAACATCTGCCGTCAAAACAGTCTTATTTCAAACTTGAAAGTGCCTCTGTGCCCACAGATTAACTGTCTGGAAACATGCATTTTAAACCTTCTGAGTACAGGCACTTGAAATTTCATTCTGTGCCCACTTCCACCTCCATCCCATGTCTGATGGACTCACGGACCTCCAGGGCTACCTGGAAGCTCTGACTTAAGGTGTAAGTGCTTAGCAGAGTCTGATGTTAGAATTGGCTTCAGGATGTTCTTCCTGCTTCTGGTGGGTCCAAGTGCTGCTTCAAGTGCAACCTCTACTTAAGAACCTATTTTAAGTATGTCATCAAGCACCGAGAAAGTGATTTGTTTTTCGTCTTTTTTTGCAGGAAGCGGACAGTTGGGAAATTATAGAAGGGCTGAAAATAGGTCAAACCAATGTCCAGAGACCAGACAAACATGAAGGCTTTATGCTGAAGAAAAGAAAATGGCCTTTGAAAGGCTGGCACAAGGTAACATCTTCATCATACCTGTCTTCAGGTCACCTTTGCAAACAGAGGGTCTTATTTGGTGTCATTACGTGGGAAGCCAAGGGTATGGTTGTATGTGGGAAGCTAATTTTCAAGGCCTTATTGTAATTATTTAGGCTACACTCAACCTGTGATACCTGTTTGAGTCAGATCTATAGTATCGGTATGCAGGGGGGGGATTTATTTTTTAAATATTTTAATATAAATTATTTTTATATTTAAAATCCAGCTTGTACATATTATTGTCTACTCTGCTTTTTTCTTTGAATTAATAATATGAAAGTGTTCTTATTAAATAATCTTCTAAATAGGAAATTTAAAAAAATTCATGTGTGTATTCTACTGGGTGGATTTTCTGAATGCATTATCTGCCGTTATGAACCCATTCCTATTGCTGGATATGTGGGATATGTCCAATTTATACTGCCATGATGTTGTGATGGACATCCATATACATGAATTTGTGTTTAATTCATTGGGATAAATTGCTAGAATTACTGGTGCCAGTGCAAACTAAAGGTGGAAATTCACTGATCTTAGAAGTTTGGTTATTACTATGTAAACTGTATGGTCTGTTCTTCTTTTCCCTACCCCATGTACTTTTCCCATCTTCCAGTTTTGTTATGGAGAAAATATTTGGCACTTCCTTGTGGCAGTGACCCGAGTAGCACTGTGATGCTGAGGAGGAAGCTGTCCTCCCTCTTCAGTGTTGCAGACACTGACCGCCTTTGACAGACCACCAGCACCTGTTCTGAAATCACCCGGAGAACAGGCTCATCTTCTTGCCACATCTGCCGATGGATCTCATCTCAGGGCAGATGGATTTATTGGCCCAAGTGGCTGAATGGTGGCTGCCCATCAGCCCACAGTAGGGAGGTTATGGATTGTACCATCCTTGAGGAAATGCACTTTTTGCACTTGAAGGGAAAGACTTAAAAATTAACCGATGGGAATGCTGCCCAATCCTCTGTCTCTGAAGGTGGAATAAAAGCATGTTAAAGGGGTTCCAACTCCTTTTCCTTCTCATTTGCCAAAAACCTTGATGGTCTCCCCTGAACCCCTGTTATTATCCCAGCACCAGGAGCATCTATCCACCCTTGCTCTTCCTTGGATTTTGGCCAGCTGGCCATACCTTCCTAGCATCACTTTTTGCCTTTCATTCTGGCCTCACCACTGTGCAATTCCTCACGTCAGTGGCCCTGCTAATCTCTTTCCTCATGACCACTCTATAGGTTATCCCTGCTAAAATTCTTTAATAGATAGAAATGGAAAAACAGGGGGAAAAGTCAAAGACAAATTTGGTTTGAATTACAAACTTTAGCACTCCCAGTACATGTTTCAGCAAAACTGGCTGTGGCTCAGCAGCACCTCTCTCTGGACCTTGCCTTAGAACGTTTTGTAGTCAAAAGCTCTTCCACTGAGCTATTCCCCCTGCCTTAGAACATTTTGCTGCATACATACTAGGAGGTTTTCCCTTGCGTTACCTTTTCTTCTGGTCTCTAGCGCCCTCAGATATTTATTCAAGTATCAACCCATTTGATTGACTAAGTTACAGGAATTGAGTAATCAAGCTGTTTTCAGCTGTACACATTCTTTCCTCCAGTGCTTACTTGTTGCCCCCCAGAACTTAAAACAAAGGGGGTCTCAGTGGCCTTCTGTGAGTTCTGTGCAGGGTGTTCCCAGGCCCTACTCTTTGCTGCCTCAGCATTTAAGAGTTCCCGTGTAGTCCCTTAAAACTTCCAGCAGAGTCATTGTCCAGCAACAGAAAGACTCCCTGCATTATGTAGAGACGAGAGGAAGGCACTGGACCTATATTGTTTGGTTGGGTCCTAGGAGGTGTTTGTTCTTTTGTCAAGTGCCCATGGAAAGGAGATCAACAGCAGAGTGTTCCTGAGTTTGTGGAGCAAAAATGGCTCCATTTATTTGAACTGGACCAGGAGTATCCTGAAGAAGACAAAAGTTGCCCTCAGTCAGTCTCTCTCCCTCTCTCTCTCTCATTTTAACCCCTCAATGTTGTTCAGAAATAATTAATTGTCTATCTCCTTTGCTAATAGTAAGATGCAGGAATTTTGCTCATTGGAAATGCACGCATATTGCTACGGCTACTTTTTAAACTCCCTGGATCATTCATTACTCATTGATCCAAGCCACTGGCTCCTTAACAGACGCGAGCATTTTCAGGAACGACCTGTGGTACCCAGGGAAATACAGTTTACCTCCAAGGTGAAAACTTCCCAAGCTCCTCACAAAATCCCTGTGACCTAACTCTGGTTACTCTTACTCCTCACTTTCCAAAAAATCCCCGTGTGATTCATTAAGAAAGTCTTAGCTACAGATCCTGAGATTCACTGGCCCCCACAACCACCCCCATTAACAAAAACCATGGTGAAAAGATTGCATCTTCATTGGATTATGTGTAACAGAACCCAAGTGGGTTAATAGTACGGAACTCAAGCTCAGACCTTGTGACCATTTAAGGTGTCCTACAGTGGCCAGGTGCACTGAGTCCACAAACGTTGAAGTGATATATGTATTGATTACTGAATGCCAAGTGACATTAACCCACACTCATGAATGTTTTATAGAATTCAGAATACAGTAACTGGGGGTTGTTTGGTTCTTGCAGCGTTTTTTTGTCCTGGATAATGGAATGTTAAAGTATTCAAAGGCACCACTTGATGTAAGTAGCACGCAAGGCATGTTTCGAAGATTGATGTAGATTTTGCTTGAAGTGAGTACACAGCACAGCTGCCCAAGCCTTGTGCCATAGTTACCAGCTTTGCTCATTTCTGTGCCTGTAATATTTACGAACTTACCAAACTTCCATGCTGCATGGAAGGTGTGTTTTATGCTTCAGCTCAAGCTAGCATAACATCTCAAACTAGTGCATGAAGATTTAACTATTGCAATGTCTGTTGTTTGAAACAAGCTTGAACCTAAGAGTGATATGCTAATAAAAACCTATCTTAGAGAGAAAACCCAAATAGGTTTTTTCTGTGCCTTAACAAACTATGCTTTATGTGCTTTTTTGAGATTTAAAGCAACCTTTGTTCTTGTTGATGTCCTTTTAATATCTATCTTAGGAACTTCATTTCATGTCATATTTCATCTCCTATATCATTTTATCTTGGGAATCCCAACTCACTAAAATTATTCCAATTTATTTTTCTTTAATGTAAAAAGCAGTTGTTTGCATGTTAAACTAAAAAATGCCCTCCTTGTCTTTGTGGTGTAGGGGGAATAGCAGATTTCAGCTTTGTTCTCATCTCTTCCGTTGAATCAGCTGTGTGTCCTTGTCAGCCGGAAGGACGAGGGCAGCCGGAAGGGCAAGCGGGCTGCTCGGTGCTCTCTGGTCCCAGCTGCCCAGTTCTGCCCCAGCAGCTGTCTTCTAGATGATTACTTGGGCATGTTCTGGGTTGTAGGTCAAAGATTGACCATAGTTATTTTAGGAACCATTAAAGTTATCTTTTGGGGGATATAAACTATACAATCTACAACTATGACAAACTGACACTATATGATACGCCTAAAACAGAAGAGATGAATAGTCTTATTGAAATTGGTGTGAAGTCACAGCAACTGCAGTTGTCCTCAGAGTAAGGATTTTAACCTCAGAACCTTGCTCCCATTGCCTTTGTAAAGGAGGTGTGGTGTTCCCTTTCCTGTAGATAAGTGAAAGATTGCATAAGCTCACTTCAGCACAGAAACACATAAAATCCCATACCTTCCATCCTATTTACTGGCCTCTTGATTTCAGATTCAAAAAGGGAAGGTCCACGGAAGCATCGATGTTGGACTCTCGGTCATGTCCATTAAAAAGAAAGCTCGGAGAATAGACCTTGATACAGAAGAGCACATCTATCATTTGAAGGTAAAGCTGCTTTTCAACAGTTTCTCTGCCGTTATCAGGGGAAATCACTTGGCCTTCATCAGTGGTAAACAGAATTTTGGTTTCACCATGACCTCCTCTTGTTCGTTGTTTCAGGTGAAATCGCAGGACTGGTTTGACGCATGGGTCTCCAAACTGCGCCATCATCGACTGTATCGGCAGAATGAAATTGTGAGATCACCAAGAGATGCCAGTTTTCACATATTTCCTTCAACCTCCACAGCTGAATCCTCACCTGCTGCTAATGTTTCCGTTGTAGATGGGAAGGTAATGTCTTTGTTATATAAAAATCAGCCCAGAAATTGCCTGGAAACTTAAGCAAACACATAACTGAGTCTCATTTGCCCAACCAGAAACAGAAAGTTTTCTTGGTAAAATAGTCCCCAGGAGACAAGAGTGACAATTGGTATCAAAGTTAATCACACGTGTGGATTTGATGGGTATGTGGATCACCAAGAGAATTAACAGCTGCATTTCCTTTCTTTGAATGGACCACATCCTAATTTTACACTGCTTTTGAAGACTATTAAGAAGTAGGGTAAACATTTGATTAATTGGCACCTAGAAATCAGTGTCTTCCTGGGTGGTAATAAGACTGCAAAGTTTTGAAAATGAAATGTGCGTTTTTGCCTTGATGTGTTATGTATACATGATCCCTGGAGAGACCAGTGAATTTCCCTCAAAGTTCATGCAAGTGCGCTAGAGATGTGCCAACAGCAGAAGCAGTAGCCCATCTGAGTAACCCACTGGTCACACGCTGTGTTAAGCACTTGGCCTTTATTCCTCTCTAATCTTTAGTATAGGTAAAGCTCAGAGACAGTAAAGATTTTTCCAGAAGTTACATAGCCATTAAACAGCTGAGCTATGATCTGAATCCAAATCTCTCTGTTTCCAAAATCAGTGCCCTTCCCATTATACAGTACTGGGTACCAGATTAGGGGAGGCTGAGGTTCTTAGGACTGTATTAAGACTTCATTTTCTATGTTGCTGAAAAACTAGACGTGTTGCCTATTAAAAATGAAGGTTAAGACCACAGGCAGGGAGACAGCTGTTTCTGCCTTTGATTCAATAATTCAGTTTTCTGAACCACAGCCACACTGCCCTGCCCAGGAGTTTTCCAGCTTCGCCCTTGGTACCCGATGTTGGGAGCAGAGGCATCTGTGAATCACTGGCTGCCACAGGAGTTGGGTTCAAGTGAAAATTCCCTTTTTTTCTTTTTTCTTACATAAGGATATAATATATGTTTTAGATGTGTAAAAGTTTTACTTGCAAAGCACTGAAAAGCCTCATGGAGTAATTGCAAGACTAATCAAATCAGATTAAATGAAATAGTACTATATTCAGTTTTTGCCATTTCAATGGAAATTACTCAAGTAATTTTTGCTAAATCCCATGAGTTGCACATCATAAGGCTCTCAAACCTTTCTGGTGTATCCTTGCCAAGGAGTGTTTATTTAGTCCTAGGAACAAGTGTATTGTGTTAACTCTGATACCAACCAGTTCTGAAATGAAGGGGAATGAACCAGGAGATCAGAAGGTCAGGGAATAAGGCACTTACTGAATGACCCAACACCAGATGCTCAAGAGAGTCCCCAGGTTTCTCTGGGCCTCCTGCCTTCCTCCTGCCTTCTCACCACAGAGTAGAATGAATCCCAGCGTTAGTCCAAATTAAACAAGAAATGTATCACAGGTAGATATTTTAAAAATACTAATTTTTAATCCTTTAATGGCTCCAGCTCCTGCCTGCATCTTTGGGACAGAGATGTGATAAAAGTTATATTATTTTCATCCCTTTTGTTAGTTATTAAATAACTTGAGTGATATCTGTAATGGAGAGCTAAAAGCAGGTCCTCCCCACTGTTTGCCTTTGAATAAGAAAGCTCTTCACTTCTGATGTTCATGGAGGATCTATTGCTCTAGTTACAAGTGACATACTCTAAGATCCAGCTCAGTGAAAAACCCCCAGTGCATTTATCAAAATGCAATAAAGTCTGAGAAGAGCTTTTTATCACTTTGCTTGCATTCTAAGTATCACATTATGAGACTCCTGAATGTTAATTGGTTTGTAGCCCTGTGTGGATAATAAATAAGTCTGTCTTTGCTGAGTATGTGCTTCATTCACTTCATAATGATTTAGAAGTGACACAACCAGTTGTAATTGAATATTAAAGTCAAATACAGAGTTTTAAAGTTGTTTTAGCTTTTTGGGAAAATAAGTTTCTGCTCTTTTTTTTTTTAACTGAGCATTTACTGTATTCACTTTAGTATCTGTATAGTTCATACAACCTTATTTCCTGTAAAATGTCTTCAAAGGAAATTCTATCAGTTTTAAATAGTAATTTGCCAAGACTGCCTTTTTATAAACTCTAATTTTCAATATGCATTCAAAGCATTTGCAAGATTACTTGCTGGTGGGTAACGTAGAATATTTAGGAATCACAGGTGGCTACCAAGATGGCAAGGGTACAGAGTTGAGCCCACAGTAGGACACTGTATTCAACTACGACTTCCTGAGTGATTTAAAAGTATTGGGAATTGGAGTTGGCAGGTCCTCGTGCATATGAGGCATAACACGCTTGAATGTGGTCCCCTTTGTTATGTAATGGCAGTAGCAACTTAATGAAAGTGTTGTTAGTGTTATGAATTTTGGCCTTGCTGAGCGCATACATTTAGTGAAGAGGCTTCTTCCATATTTTGATTGTGCCCTTTCTTCCTTTTTAAATTTTGCTTTAAAAATACTCATCACATAGAGTGTATGAGTATTTTTAAGTCACTTAAATATGCCATTTCTGCTTAACTGCATTTCTTTTTGTTTATTGCAGATGCAACCCAACAGCTGTCCATGGCAGTCCCCTTTACCAAGCAGCAGCAGCCTCCCCGCCACCTGCACGACCGGCCAGAGGAAAGTGGCCGCCTGGTTACAGGACTCAGAGGAAATGGACAGGTGTGCAGAAGGTTAGTTCTTGCGTGGTATGGGCTATCAGAATAAGCCAAGAAACAGAAACAAAGGTGAATTGTGGGCGCTGCACCTCTCACTCCCCAACCTTCTTGATTGCCTCGACCTTTACTTTATTTTTGTGCACCAGATCCTACTTCTTCCCCCGAAACCTGCCAGTTCTGCACCCTCACAACTGCTGAATCTGGTTTCATCCGTACCCTGACATCCCCCCATTCAGCCTTCTCACCTCATCTCATTACCTGCTCCCTCTGGCTTCCTGAGCCTCCCCTCTCCCTGGGCCCCGGGAGAAGTGCTGCTTCAGGAGCACCCTCCACCCTCACTCCTTGCCCCATCTGACTCTCTGCCCTTGACTCTCTGCCCCATCGCTCCACCTCACCTGTGCATTGCATTGCATTGCTTCCAATAAATGTGTTGTATCTTATATCCGCAGTTACCTGTTAGAGGTGTTCCACTGTGGAGCAGTTACTAAATATTCTGAACTAATCCACGATTCCCTCACTCTGTCATCTCTAAGCTTCTTAGTCTCCAGAAACTTTCTCCTTCCTCTAATTAGCCTGAGCACGTAAGTCCAGACTGGATCCACAGACCATTTCCATTCTACAAGACAGTGTTCGTTTGACCTTCAGAAATGAGAAAAACAAGGATCACATGGGAAATATGCAGTAAAGCTAAATTGATTTCATTTTCAAAATTATTTAGAGATAATGTTGTGCCTAACTTCTTTGATATTAAGTTTTCCCTTTTATAAAATTATGGTGAGAGTAGATAGAGTAGATGTTACATTTTTATTTTAAGTCCTCAGAAAAATTAAAACTTGGCAAATCATTATAATCTTGGCAATCTGTGTTGGGCACCCAACCAAAAAAAAAAGTTGTGCTTTTTGCTGTGCATGTGTGAACTCAAAGTCTGCAGCATTTTTGTTAGCCCTCTAAATATCCCAAATTTACTGTTTATGTGAGAATGAGATTTTGAGAGGGATGTTATATACATAAAGCATGTCCAGCTGACTCTCCATTAAAAGGCTTTTACTTGAATACATCCACAAGTGGCGCAGAGTGGCGCAGGCGTCACTCTGACGCTGTTAGCTTCAGGTCAGGGAAAGAAGCCGAATCTCACTTTCCTGGAACCCTGCAGGGTCTCCTCAGCAGCAGTTCTGGACGTTTCTGCCTCCCCTCTAATTTCTGAAGCCTTGCTAGGCTTGTGTCATTTAACCTGACCACCTACATTGCTGAAGAGATTGAGATCATCCCCTGGGATGAAGTCTGTTCTGTCCTAAACGTGTAGACATTGGCCTAGATGTCAAGAAACCCCTGATTGGTGGGAGGATGCACTTGTCTCCCCGTGTGCTGCTTCACGGCACGCCGAGGCCCATCCCCTGTGCCCTCTCCCCAGTCTCTGGGTGAGCCTCCTTCGCCCCATCCTGACTGCTCTGCCTGTGTCCTCTGTCCTGTGCATCTGTTCTCCTTCAGGATTTAGTGCAGTGACGACTTCCTCGTCTCTCGGGAGCAGCCTCGGTTTATCCCACCCCACTCCCTCCTGCTGTCTGCCCACAGACTCTTTGTTCGCTCTCCTAACTTGACTTGTGCCCTTTTTTGCTCTGGAAGAAACGTTCTTGGTAGCAGGAGGCCCTCTGATTTCTGCTGGGTTCTCAGGCCTCATCCTCCAACCTGCCCTGCAGGGCCCTCTCTAAGGAGCCTCCTCCCTGCAGCCTCATGAAATTCTCTTTTTCTCTGACTGCCCCTCCCTACTTCATCAGGCTTCTCGTCTGCCCAGCCTTAGTTGTGGGAAGTCAGGGTTCAGTCATCTGCTTTCTCCTTCAGCAATAGTAACTGTGCTCGTTGGGTGCTCATCGTGGGCCCAGCACCGAGCTCAGCACTTTGTGTACAGGGGTGGGCAAAAGTTGGTTTACAGGTGTGAGTACACAAAACAGAGTTTATTCTTGTGTTATTATTTATTTATTAGTTATTATATTGTTTATTATTAATAGCCTACTTTGCCCACCCCTATATGTGGTTTCTGTAAATTTTCACAGTAGTAGCCAGTGAGGGTTGTTATCCACAGGGAATCTGAAGCTCAGAGAGGTTAAGTAGCTGGTCTGGATTACACACCAAGGACTTGGAATAGCTGGGAGGCTAACCCAGGCCAGTTGTGATAATTGTGGTAATTATGCTCTGTGCTTTGAAGATGACAGGTATGCTCATAATTTCACATGAAATCTCTATTTTGATGATGACAGTGGTGGCGGTGGTGGTGGTGGCTACTGACAGTTACTGGGGACTTCCTCTGTGACAGACCCTATTCTAGGTGTTTCAGATGCATTAACTCATTTAATCCTCTCAGCTCTAAGGTACCAATGAGCACACTTAGGCACAGAAAAGTTAGCTCACTGTGCACACCAAGTTCACACAGCTAATAACAGTGGGGGTGGGAGTCAGCCTCAGGCAGCCTGACTCCAGGGTGTAGGCTCTTAATCACCACACCATAGTCTTCTCAAAAGGGCTGAAAATCTTTAAATCTCAGCCCTCTGTATCAGCCATTGCTGTGTTCCCATTGTCTCCCTGGCTGTTGACCATTTCTGTGCACATGCTCTGTCCTGCCTCTTCTCAGCCTGTCGGAAACCAAACTCTGTCTCTGCCCTGAAAATGGTTCCTGATCTATCCCATTTCTGTTAGTGCTGCTGTCATAATTGCCCCTGGAACCCTAGTGTCATCTCTGACCCTCCCACCCATTCATTCAGCTGAGACTGAGTGCCGTTATCTCTTTGAAAGCATCCTCACTTCCTTTCCCCTTCATCTGCACTTCCTTTCAAATTCCATTTCTGCTTTCCTGGCTCAGGCCCATGTTCGCCCAATCTCCTAGTGGCCACACAGCCCCCTGACTAGAACTCACGCCCTCTGTCTCTTGCTCTGCTGCTCCATCTCTCTCAGAGGCTCGTGGGAAGTGACTGTTCTTGAACGAGTTTGCAGCTCTGTGCGGCACTTACCAGGCATTATTCCACTGCACTCAGCCATGAGATATGTAGGTATTTCGACCATCCTCATTTTGCCTATGAGGACAGTGAAGTGCATGAAAGTTCAGAAGTTTGCCCAAGACACACAGCTGCCCTGGCGGGGAGGTGGGACTCCAGCCAACCCGTGTTTGACTAACCCCGAAGCCAACTCTTCGCCCACAACATAATGTTCCCTCATGACTGATATTCCTTAAAATAGCTTTTATGCAAAACTCCTTTCAAATGGTTCTCCATGGACTCTGGGGCCTGAGTCCAAACTACTTAGCCCAGCATTTAATACTCAGCTTTCAGTTTCCTGACCCTACCTACCCTTTCAGTGTTGGCCCAGCTTAACGTACTTGCTACTTGAACAGACTTGCATATGCACACATCTGTGCGTTTACATGGGTTGTTCTTCCCGCCCTGCAGTGCCCCCTCGGCCCTTCTCCACTTTTGTATTTCGTTGAATTCTTTTCATTGATCCTCCACACATTTTGTAAAATCTTGAAAGATTCCACTGTCTGAAGTCTGCTCTGATGACTTCAGACCACAGGAACCGCCCCCTCCTAAGCCACCCCAGCACTTTCTTTTTGGTCTGTATGGATCGTTTCACAGAATCCCCAACGTGGAGGGTGGTTACATTTCAGAAGTTTATCCTGTAACATCTTCCTGAACCCATAACACATTTGACCTATAGTTGCAACACTTAAAGTGACAAGCTATTCGGAAATCTGGACTTGTAACAATCCAAATCTCTAGTATGTGAAGGAATCTCTTGGCTCTTAGAGAACATTATTTCCCATAGAAGCAAAATGTCACATTAATATTTCTATATGCTATCTTTATGTACCAGTATATGCCTTTGTTAAAGATGGTACATAATAGTTCAACAGAGAGATTGTTTATTGTGTACATTTTTTTTGAGAATGTAAAATCCATGAATCTTCTTAACTGCTGCATTTCCTGTGCTTAGGACTTTGTGGGGTACACAGTGTCTCCCCAATCAGTGGTACCAAAATGGAATAACAAATGGATAACGTTGGATATACCTTAATTTATGTAACCATTCCACAAGTCTTATGACGTGTTTCTTTCTAGAACAAGGTAGGGCACAATGAGAAAATAAACTGCTTAGAGATTTAAGTTCTTAATTTTTCACTATTATAAACAATCTTAGTAGTCTTTCCTTGGCATATGTTTTACATTTTTCCCAGAGTCTAAATTTAGATTTAATCTCAATTTAATGAAATTCTCAAGATTTTTTTTAAGGTATTTTTATTTTCTTGGACAAATCTTTAAAATCTTAATAGGCAGCCAGACACTTAAGCAAGCAGTGAAATCCTGCCAAGGACTCCGTTCCTTCTGTATTTTAAATGAGGGGGGTGCTGCGGGCGGTGCAGCTTCTTCGAAGTTAAGGTCCTAGCGGCATGATTAAACTTAATGTGATCCATCTCCTTACAGATCATTTCTGGTTTTCATAGAATTTTCTCTTCTACCATCTCTGTTGCTACTCTAAGTCAGGACAGTAGGAAAAGTAAATATTACTATCACCACTTAACAGGTGAGGAAACTGAAACCAAAAATTGTAAGGTAAATCAATGTCTCTTGAATCAACTGACTTCCGACTCCCAAAGTTTTAAGTCTTTTGCCTTGGACTGAGCTCACTACAAAGTTCTCTTTCCATTCTGTTAGGAAGGGTTTTAAGCCCAAGTCTAGATTTCTGTGCAACTTACACACCATTTGTGTAGAGCAATCACCATTATTAAGAAGTATGAATGCAAAATTTACTGGATAGGAGGCTCAGTCTGTGGGCAGTACTGGATAGTCTTCCACCGGCAGCTTGCTAATGATGTAATTTTGTTATTTAAAAGGCAAGTCAAATGTAGGTCCCTCGTAGCCATCTTCTTTCTGCTTTCCCCTCTAACCCCTACCTTCCTTCTTCGCACTACTTTTCTCCCTCATTCTTTCCCTTTCGTCTTCTGTATTTCCTACCCTTCACAGCCACTTTACCTTGTTTTCTACAAAGGGAAGGAGAAGAGGCAGACAAGGGTGCTGCCTCCCTGAAACGGGGAGTGGGTGGGGGTGGGGGGCGGTGGAAGGGCCCTGGCCTTCCCTGTATCCTCTTCCTCCCACCCCCATGGGGCGGTTCCTTCTCTGAAGGAATTTAGGCCTTGGATGGCCACGGATTCCCTGGAGGAACAACAGCAGCTCTTGCACAGCCCACCTGGGCTCCATCCAAGGCAGATGCTGCTGAGAGGAGGGACCAAGGTGTGGCCTGGCCTCTGATAAATTGCTCTGCATGAAGAGGATCCGCAGTCCTCTGTAAAAGACAGTAACAGAAAAATCCACCAAACACAACTGCCTATGTTATTTGACCCAGCTAATCTTCAGCCATATTTAATAGCAATATTTTGCTGCCTATACCATAATTGTAACAATTCACATCTTTGAGATTGAATGAGGAACCAAAATAATAGAAGTGAAATTTTCACCTACTCCCACAAAAATAAGAACAACCATTTTATAATTTTTCAGATTTATAATTTTTCAGTTGTATCTCTTCATAAATAGCACACATGCAAAAGTCATTGTGTAACTGGGAGCCATGTTCTGATTGTTTATTAATTGAGTGAATACTAATAACTTAATATTCCTGACTGTATTTAACCTCACACACTAAAGGTCAATTTTCTGTGATACTGTAATATGCATCTCTTTTTTAAAAAATTGTTTAAATGTAACAAAAAATTAAAAATAAAATAAAAGGTCAATTTTTTCATCCTGAGCAGTTCAAACAGAATGAGTTTCAGGCCCAAGCAATGCTGGTCTTGCAGGGCCGGGGAACACACTTTAATAAACTTTGGTTTTGTTTAGTATAACATCTCTACTAGATTTTGAAGAAATCATGCATTGCCACGTTGTTAGTGAGCTAAATGATAGAAAAATATGTTCATCTGACTCTGCATTCCATCTTATTTTTCTGAACGTGACTTTGACTGCACCCAAATTCCAAGGAGCCACCTTGTAAGCTACTTTAGGAGCAGGTGGACAGGTCCTCAACAGTGAAACCACACAACTGCTGGAGCTCCCGTGAGCGTGCTTGTACGTGACAAGGGCCACCTGAGCAGGAAAGTGCGAGAGCACAGTCTGACCGAGATTTTAATGGCTCTCTCCACTAATAGCTGTTAATTTGCAAGAGTGCACTTGGAAGTCATCCTGTAATAATGTGTCATTTAATGGTTCTAAACCAGGGAAGGGTCTGGGTGTTTTTTTTTTATTTTTTCATTTGCCAGCGTCACCATTATATGTAAACATGGGTCTGCCAAATTACATTTGCCGTCATTTGGATTGGCTCGCTTCTGTTACCACCAGCACCACTCCCTGCCCAGCTCTAACATAACTTTTATTTCCGATTTTACTAGACCTTGCACACTGCCAGTCAAATCTTGTGGAACTTAGCAAGCTCCTGCAAAATTTGGAAATACTTCAGAGAACTCAGTCAGCACCAAACTTTACTGACATGCAGGTAAACACATTGCTGCTACTGGCAAAAGGACCTTAAGGTATTAACTCAGAATTTTTACTGGATTGTGCTATGATTATTTAAGGTAATATTTAAAGGGGAAAAACTACAATACAAATTAGTTTCTATTGTGGGGTTATTCCAAAATATTTTGGATCTTGGTGCCATTGAGTTTAGATGTATAATTCAAAATGTTTTACTTTTAAATACAAACTAGAAGAAAAAAATCTGAATCAATCTGCCATGTTTGTGTTACATTAGAAATAATAACTTTGAAGACATAACTGAGATGCTCCCAGAATTGTTACCATCTTTTCATGTAGGAAAAAATGCTAAAGATCTCTAATCCTATAGATTTTGTATAGCAGAAAAATACATGATTAAGTTCTTGTCTTTGTTTTTAATGCCCACTGTGCATCAGATAACACCTTTCTCTCCTGGCTGGTTTGCTTAGGTGTCTAACCACCAGTCTTGACTAACTTGCTCTCTTTGTGCCTGTGTTGTCTGTGTGGACTTAATACTTTGTTGCTTTTAACTATTTGTGTAATGTAGGCTAACTGTGTAGATATTTCAAAGAAAGACAAGCGGGTCACAAGAAGATGGAGAACAAAAAGTGTCAGCAAAGATACAAAAATACAACTGCAGGTACAGACTTTACTTTTCTTTCATTCATAGTTTTGCATATTTTATAGTCTATATATCAGTTCATAGAAGTGAAAAAGTTTACAGCAGCTTACCTGCTTGAAAGCCAGTGCTTTTCAGACTGAGTTACATTATCTGAAATAGAGGGAAATCTGTCCTTTTTACTCTGATCTAAGTAAAAAGAAATTAAAATAAAGGTAAAAGTTATTTAATATGGCTGCAAAGTGGCATTAGCATTCTCAGTTACGGACTTAGAACCATTAAAATAGATGTAAACAAAAAGTCACCTTAAACATCTCAACTAAAGATCCAGTGGGTTGTATTGAACACTCATTTTTCTACACTACACCTTAAAAGAGCCAGGTTTGTCCAGATTTTCATCTGTCAATAAAAGAGTGAGAGTTGTAACAGATTGGAAATTACCCTACCCAGGATGTAGCCTAATCGCTGTGATTTCCTGGCAGTATCATTTCATGTATTTCTCTAAAATTTTCTGGGCTTCTATTTGCTCCTGGGTAAAGGAGTTAACTTAATGATCTTTGAATTTCCTTTGAACTCTAAAATTTGATGATTCTACACAAATAGACATTATTTAGCCATCAACAATCACTTTTAAAATCTGAACTGAAGTCTTAATGGCTCATGATAAATTTAGTTGAAATTTATTTTCAATAAGTTATTTATTTGAAATGAGTAATTTGAAATTTTTAAATAAGATCCTATTTTGTTATTTTATTGCAATGTTATTAAATATGATACATGCCTAAAACTTCTTATATCATAAATCATATTTTTTTAGATCTTTAAACTAGACTCTGTACTTCTCCAATTCTAGCTATGTATTATTCTAAAGGGCTCTTGCCCTGCACAATCAAAATTATACTTATGACTTTGCTTTGCTTTTTATTACACTATAAATCAATTTATATTCTAATACAAAGGTAAAGGGAACTGCTTTTCAGAATACTTCAATGACTTCTAAAAAAATAACAATAATTCTTCTTTAATTCTGACTGTATTGATAACTTTTTTGTGTAGTAATTCTGAATGTGTAAATAACAAACTGTTGCTTTGCTTGCTAACCTGATGTATTTGAAATTAAGTTTTCATAAGCACTAAAAATCCATGGTCTATTTGGAACTTCCACATTCTGTGAACACATTTTTTGTGTTCCTTTGTTCAGTATGATTTTGCATGTTTTCCCCTCTATTCAGAAAATTAATGCTATAGAAATAAATGTCCAAATGACTTCACAAGAAAATTACCTAAAAAGGCTTTTGGCAGTTTCATTTGTTTTGAGCATGTGTCTACTTTTGTGACTGTTTTATTTTTTTAAAGCATGGTGTCTATGGTTATTATAACTGGGTAAAAGAACCATTACATTAAAAACATCTTTGGAAAAGGCTAGCATTATACGAACACATATATACACTTGAGATTAGATATTATTTCAATCTTGTTTTTATAAGGTTTCTCATTGAACAGATTCCCACTCACAGCTATTGTCCTGGATAGACTGGTTTGCAGGGAGCCTGTGTGCAATGTCCCTGGCCAGCCGCTGTGGCCACAAGGCCACCATGGCCCCCACATCGCTCAGTTTTTCTGAAGGAAATAGAGTGCAACTCTGAACAACCCACAGAGTCAAGCCTGTGCTTTTTCAGTGTGCAGAAAGTTTATGTTTTAAGTCATCAGAAAAAATTATTTTAAAAGCAGGAAAATATTCTTCATCCATACTCATACAACATTTTTGGGAGGCTTATTAGGTTTTAAGTTTTTATTTATGCTGTTTTGCTGTGTTTTTCTTTTACCAAAAGAGTAATAAAATGGCCCTTGTGATTCTGGTTTAATTATGTTTGAGGGAGATTGAAATCAGCTCATACCCACACTCTAAGGGAAATTTAAACTTTCAAAAGTAAGAGATTTAGTTGTGCCTCCAAGTAGAAATAAATAGACTTGGGGCAAGCAATAAGCTATGAATCATTCCCAGAGAAACCCCAGCCCCACATGGACTGGCTGGTAAAACACAAGGCTTGGTGGGGGGATGCTGCGGAATGTGGTACTATCCCTGGGCCTTTTCTGCTCAGCCAAACCAGCAGGCCTCTCAGGATCCCTTAGGCCGAGGAACCACACACTCAGCCTGGAATAACTGTAGCCGATATAAATGCCATTACTCATCAGTATTTTACCTACAGGCACAATTCCTGTTTTCAGTGTTTTTTGACCATGGAAATTCCATCTGATGGTGCCACGTACTTGTTTCGAGCCCATAATCATTTCACTACTTGAACCACTTTCTGTGATGCTCACTGTTGCAGCCGGTTTGGGAGGCTTTGTAGTGAGTGGCTCGTTTTTCATCCCCACTGTTTGTCATTTTCAGTATATCAGCCATTTGTGAATGGACCTAGACTGTGTGGTGGTGGTGTTGGAGGTTACTGTTACTGCTGTTGTTATTGGTGCTTTCACTGAATTTTGCATTCAGCCTTCTGTAGCAGTTTTTGTTTTGAAATCATTATAAAACAGATCATTTAAAAAGTTGACCCCGGGAAAGTAAAGATGAACATGTTGTACTGGGTGTTCCATTGCTAATTCTTACACAGGTTAGATTGTGCTGTTGATTTGAATGGGAAGGTTATGGCCGTGCTGCCACTAGACGCCAGTGGAAAGCTAGCCTCGGGAATCCCTTGTGTAACTCAGTGAAGGCAACATTTGTCCCAGGAGGCTCTGTGGAGATTACCTTTTAGAAAAAGGGCTTCTTGTCTTCCAAACTTCCAATTCTGTGGTTCTAATAAAAATCTCAATATGATCATTGTACAGTACCAGTTGGGCCGTATGTTAAGTGCAGCAGAGGAAGGCAAGAACAGGATGATTTTGGAAGGTTGCTGTAGAGGAGAGAGCTGCTAATTTCCTGTGTTGCTGATAGCATGATTTAAATACTACATCACTAGTTGTTGGAGAGAATGAGGAAGAGTAGGAAGTATGGAGTAGCCGATAAATGACCTGATGTGATTCATGTGTAGCTATCCTAGATCTTACAGATGTTCAGATTACAATGTAGGCTGAAAATAAGTTCTTGTTTACTACATTAAATATACAGGGATTGTGTATAGGAAAAGTTTTTGGTGGAAAGCAGGTGATGTATGTATGTGTGTATATAATAAACATATCATATACATATGCAGAAGATTTAAGAAGATGGAAGAGAAATGTGATTGCAATTTGGCAAATATAAAGAGAACTAGAGATAGAAGAATGTAAAATATTTGTCTTTGTTCTAGAAAGACTAAAGCACCCTTGCTATTTTTTTTCTGGATCTCTACTGTTTGGTGACTTACACACATCTCAGTTCATTGGGACTGAAATTAGTGCTCACAACCTTGAAGAGTCGGGATCTGTCAAATGGAGGCAGAGTTGCCTGGCTAGAAGGAAATGTTCTTATTCTTGTCCACCAAAAAGAGAAGAGAAGGGAAGCAAGCTCAGGAATCCTTCCACTGGCTTATGCACAGGCGCACATCACTGAGTGAAGCCTGCGCTCTCGGGTTTCATAGCTGGTTTTTGTAGGACTTTTTTCTTACGCTATGGGGATCCTCTTGGAAGATTCTTCAACCTGAAAACCCCGGCACCATTCCTACTGTTGAATGCCGGAGAGCTTCATAGGAAGGGAATGAAAGGGGAGTGGAAGATTCCTGCTATCCCTTTCCCTTACTTTTTTTCTGTCACCAAGAAACAAAAAAATTCTGCGTGGCCATCAGGAAGTCCCCATTACAGCCTGTTCACTTTAACGTTTGCATATTATTTATTTAATTACTTTTTTCTCAACGCATTTTTTTATTTGCTTCCGTTTATTGAGGGCCTTTTGACTTCCTATAACATGACACTGCATGAATAAAGCAGTATGCAAATGTATTTTGCCGAGAAATCCCAAGCTGTTCATCAGTTCTTACCTTTCTATCCCTTTCTGGGTGGGGGTGTTGTTTAGCAAATAGGCGGATGTGCTTGGGTGTTCTGCAGTGAGAGGGATGAACTTTTTTTTCCTCACTGCCTGAATGCCCCTTACCGCTCTTCTCAATGCCAAGAGTTAGGAAAAGTGAACCACAGTTAAAAACTCTCGCTCTCCCTTGTCTGATGATCTTTCGCCCTCCCATATCCTGTCCTCTCTCTGCCTCATCCCGTGTTTTTTCCTCCCTCCTCTTCTCTCATTCACTGTCAGGAAGGGCCATCTGTGAAGGGGCAGTTCAGCACCACTCGGCGCCGGCAGAGGCTAGCGGCAGCAGTGGCTACAACAGTGAGTGGATTTCAATCTCAAGTGGACGTTTAATGACAATGAGAAACTGTGTACAAGTGTCAGTCCCCCTGTTCCCATGGTGCCACTTGCGTGTGACCATGTCAACTGTGGCCCGCTCCTGGGTTGGCATAGCTTTCGCATGTTTTCTGGCTGCCTTTGCATGGCAGGAGTGGACCCGGATATTGGTGTTTGCGATGGAAAACTGTTATGTAATCCAATCCCCTACTTCTACTGTCAGTGCGAGAAATCCTTGCGATTCAAGGTTGCGAAACAGCACAGCCCCTTATGGTGTGGGATTTCCTTAAATAATGTTTTCTGTTCATTTTTTGTTCATTTGTTTCTTTGTTTGCCGTACTGATATTGGAACCTTTGCTAACTGATTTGTTTTTCTAAGAAAAGTCATGTTACTACAGACATGAATTGTGCTTTTTTTTGTAGCAATGTGACTATTTGAACAGGATGTGAGAATAAAGAAATGAGAGGGTAAGAAAAGGTGAATTTTGATGTCATATCTAAATGGCTACACAAGTTATACTTAGCAAGAGAAAACTGTTTCCTGGAGTGAATATTGAGCTGGAAATCAGAAACCATAATGTGGCAAAGCAGAAAAACCACAAAGTTAAATGATGTTTGGTTCATATCTATAGGTTTGTTTGGGTGTTCATTTAAGGAGAATAGAGAGGACAGAGAAAACAGAATGGATATTAGGAGGACAGAGGAAGTATTGAGGTAGATAAGGCAAATGACAAAGTTAAAACTGAGTAGGTGTTCAGAGTAGCGAATTGTCCATGTGGACCATGAAGTAGAACATCAGTACCAGGACCCTGTGCTGCATAAAAGGAAACCATAATATTTGTTTATTCATGACATCCTATCAGTTTTTTAAAATAGAGTACTGAGTTCATAACAATCATAGGTGTTCGTTTTTTGATTATTAGGTAGTATCTCTTAGATTAATAATAGTTTTACTCTTGCTAGTGGTGAGTATATTTAATATTAGAATTGCTGAAAAATATGGAAAGGTTTTGGTTGTGTTCTAGGAGAACGGATACTGATGCAGGGATTGGCCAGTACACTTGCATTTTATCTAGATGCTTAGCTGGACTGTTTGAGAAACAAAACTAATTTTGATTATGAAATGAACCAGTGACTTGGAACTTAGTAGGGGACTGACTCTTAACTTGCCTTTTCTGACGATTAGAACAAACAAATTATTGAAATAGATGTCCTGGTTAATGTGTATCTTATGCCTGTGCTGGAATGCAGATGAATAAAGTATACAGTACCTACATGGTAACAGAGTAACAATAGATGCATGTATAATCTATTAAAGAATTCTTAAATGTAACCTTTTATCTATAAAATTAAGAAATCAAGTGATGATTAGAAAACACTATCTCAGTGTGGAAAGGCAAATACTAACAATGTTTCCTTAAATAACATACTTCTAAGATGGCACATAGGGAAGTGAATGTTTCTACTGTGTTCATTTTTTAATTGCAGATACATATAGTGAATACAATGAAACTGGGATGAGAACCTATTTGAATCGAATGAGGTTATATTTTAAAAATTGAGGCTACAAGAGAAAAACCTTTTAAAAGAGGAAAGTGTTAATGCCTACCTTCCAGGGTAGCTGTGACTGTAGAAGTTGAGAATAACTTAGATGCACCTAGCGAGAAGAGGTACTGGCAACACCTAGCAGTGAATTCAGGAGTAGCCAGGGGGAGAAGTTTCCCTACCACCCTCTAGGATTTATAACTTGAACCCCAGAGCATGGCAACCCTCAACGGGCCCCCTCGGCCCCTCCATCCATATCTCAGGGACCTGATGCTGGTGATTCAGTCCCCTATTTCTTTTACTGCAGTGGTTCTTCTTAATTCCCAGTCCTTCCTCTTCCCCACACTAAAGTTACCCCACACATTTTGAGCCCATCCTATCCCGCTAATACCTTTTATCCAGAATTCTTCCACGTGACTTCTAGTCACTCGTTTTCCTTGCCCACTCACATGTCTGGGACAGCTGAGACTGGCTCCCAAAGAAAAGTGCACCCAAGGAGATATTTCAGGGATTTATTGTCAATCCTGAGCACTAACACCCAAGAGGTCCATTTGCAGCATCAGCCAGACCCAACAGAATAGGGGGTAGAAAAAGAGAAACTCCAGCCCCTCAGCATGGATGGACTCTGACAGTCCCCATGCAACCTGCACTCCGCACGAGGGTCCCTGTGCACACGATGTAGAATTACAGCCACAGACCTTTCAGCCGGCTCCACGAGTCATCTGCACTTAGTCCTGCTCTTGCGTCTTCTCTTTTTCGATCATGCTTATTACCATTGCTAAATTTCAGTGCCACTACCTCCACTCTCAATCCGTTTGTCTTTTAACTTCTTTCTAGACAGGTGTTAAGAGCATCTCCTGCCCAGGTCAGTGTGGCTCAGTTGGGTGGAGCATCATCCATAAACCAAAAGGTTGTGGGTTCAATTCCTGGTCAGGGCACATTCCTGGGTTGCAGGTTCAGTCCCCTGTTAGGGCACATATGGAAGGCAGCCAATCAATGTTTCTCTCTCACATTGATGTTTCTCTTCCTCTCTCTCTCTCTCCCTCCCTTCCCTTCTCTCTGAAATCAGCGAGCATGTCCTCGTGTGAGGATTTAAAAAAACAAAAACCATCACTTAACATCCCCATTCCAAACTGTAGTTACTAGCACCAGAATGGTCCAGTGTCAGGCCTCCTCCCGGTCACCGGATTTCCAGGAAGCCTTGGGTTTCTCTCCTGACCAGGCTGTGAAGGCCACATCCAGGGCTGAGGGTCTAAGCACAGACTCCGAGAGCTGTGGACAACCTGTTACCCCTTCCATTGTTTAATCCCACGAAACTAAGTCCCCAGACTGAAGAGATACCCAGTTAGGGTGAGATTCATACATCTCACTTTGTGTTCTCAATTTCATTTCATGAATTCTTCTATTCAGATGGCCCATCCATATACTTCTTTCAATAAACAAATGAAGAAGATATCAATACCAACATTTTCAGTAGGCAGCATACACAATTCATTTCAGGGTCCCAGGGGCCTGTGTGATTGCAGTTGGAAGGGAGCATTCCAAGTCTCTTTCCTTGTGGGTTATATCCAAACCCACTTTTACTAGTCTAATTGCCAATTTAAACTTCCAAAATATGTGTTCAAAATATAAATTTGTAACTTACGGTTTTGTTCTGAGCATCTGATTCCAAATTTTATTAGAGAGGCCATTATCTCAGGGACGAGTCTGCGTCCTTCGTGGACCCTCGGGGCCCCCAGCGCACCACGGCCTCCCCCAGCTGTCACAGCCCCCTCCCTGCCACCAAGGGGAGAGGCCCCTCTCCAGCGCCTGGCCAGTCCCTGGAGTGCTGAAGGCACCTGAGTGCAGATAGCCCCCCTTTCCTTGATCACCGCGTTGCATCCCCCATCACCAAACACCCGCATTCCTTTTTCTTAATGCTCTTCTGGTTCTTTGTACTGGGAAACCATATCCCTAAGTCTGAAACTTCCTGACCTGCGCCTTTCCTCACATGACAGTCTCTCCCCGGTGGCCTCCAAATCTCCACCACCCTCTCCACGGATTTTCTGCATCTCTCCTAGAGGGCTAAGGGCTGGCTGCTCTTTCTGGTTTAGCATCACCATAGTTAAGGTCAGAAATTTTCTTCATCTGCCTCCCAATATTCTTCCATATAAATGCCATTCCTTTATATGCATCCCCAGAAGACCTCGGTCACTGTTCTCACAAGGTTGCCTGGACAGGATCCATTTTCTCAAAGGGCTTACCTACCAGTGTGTGTGCGTGTGTGTGTGTGTGTGCACACACATGCGCCTTTTCTGCAGAAGCCAGAAACTCTGAACTTGATGAGATAAACGAGCTGTTGACATCTCCCAGCCCAGAGTAGCAAGGTCCACATGGAGGGTGAGATAGAGTTACTTTGATAACTCCAGATACCAAATGATTTGGATCATATACATTAGCATGCTTAGAGTAGCTGAATTTAGGGCAAAGCTTTATGCTTCCATCCTGCCCCAGGGAGCCTTGGGTGTCTTTTTAGTGACATAACTTCCTGCCTTGGCAGAGTGACTTTCAGAGGACTCTTTCCGGGTGCACAAACCACAGCCTGGGTCAGATTTTTTTGGCTCTCTCCACCCACTCTGTACAGCGTCTGTGTCCTCCGTGCATGAGCACTAGTTCATGTTCATTTGCTCTCTCTCCCCACCGCTCTCTCCCTCTCTCTCTGCCTCCCTCTTTTTTTTTCCTGTCAAGAAGTTTAAAGCAAAAAATGAGAGAGCCAAATTTTTTTCATTTTAAAAAATGAAAAAAAAAGGGCCCTGTCTGGTGTGGCTCAGAGGATTGAGTGCCAGCCTGTGAACCATAGGGTTGCCAGTTCGATTCCTAGTTGGCACACACCTGGGTTGCAGGCCAGGTCCCCAGTAGGGGCTACCCAAGAGGCAACCACACACTGATGTTTCTCTCCCTTTCTCCTTCTCCTCTGTCTAAAAATAAATAAATAATTTTTTTAAGAAATTGAAAATAGAGCGTTGTTCTGACATACATACATATACACCAGACAAGATATTGTTTGCCTCCTCCGACAGCATATTTCTTGTTCACTAGAAGATGTGAGTTATGCTGTAATTTATATAAAATTCAGCTTGCAAAGGAGTCTAAGAGTCTGATTCTTGAAGATAATTGAATGAACATCTGTACAGTAAGAATTAGGGGAGGGCACTTGTAATCTGATTTACAAAAGGAATTGGTATTCTCATTTTCTAAGAATGTTTGGCTGACAGCATTTGTAATGGTCAGGGAGAATGTTCTAGAAGGAAAGGGCAAGGAGCTTTGCCTCCACTTATCACAAGCCCAGCCCAGATCCAGCCTGGGCATGGAAGTGCCTCTAACCATTTGGAAAAATCTATAGTAATATGACTTTTTTTACCTAATGCTACCTTTTCCGTATTGACTAGTTAATAAGCCATGTCCATTTATGTAACAGAGTTGTGTATAACGTACAAGGGTAAATCACAGTAATTTATATATTACGTATTTCATTTACAGGTTTATTTTGATAAGTGAATTTCAAATTTAAGCCATTATATTTACTTTTAAACTTCTTTATGTTTTATCTCATGGCTGTGGAGCAAGTGACTTTTCCTGTATATGCACCCCTTGAGTTTTTACCTGTTCTGTAAGCTCAGAAAGAAGTGAGCGTAAAAAGTCCCCTGACAAGAATACCCAGACATTGAAAGGGAAGGACAGCCACGTCACAGTTTAGTGTTTCTGCCAATAATTTTTTTTAGATAAAACTGTGGGGTCAGAGCTGAAGGTTACCTTGGAATCCGCCTCTTCTCCCTGCCTCCCTGTCACCCTCTCACCCTGGACCAATGAAAAGCCAGTGGGTCGGTAGCAGTCCCAAACCCACGGTGGGAAATGAGGCTTCTTCCCGCCCCAGCCGCCTGCAACAGAGAGGAGTGCTGAGTGCCCCAGGCCTGTCGGCCGAGGGGATGTGTTATTTTGAAGAAGGGAAGAGAGCTTCCGTGTGGAAGGGAATGCGGCAGAGTGCACTGTTGCTCGTTAACAATCTGTGTCTTTCCTTTCAGGTTCCTTTCAGTGCCACCATGTCACCCGTCCGCTTGCACTCCTCCAACCCCAACCTATGCGCAGATATTGAATTTCAGACACCCCCTAGCCACCTCACGGACCCCCTGGAGAGCTCAACAGATTACACGAAACTTCAGGAGGAATTCTGTCTAATTGCACAGAAAGGTAACAACACATCTAGCTCGCCCTTTCGAGGAGCACTCTTCTTTGGTGAGAGGGTACCGTTTACTCTTCTGTCCTAGTCTAGGCAGTCATGGGCAAAGACGGAATGGTTCCTGTACTGGTTGGAGTTCTGTATACGGAGTGCAGTAGGGCATGATGCCTGCTCCTTGGGGCAGTGCACGTTGTGGCTTTTCTGTTTTGACTGAATGAAGGCAGTGTCATTGTGGGGAGGGGGGATGGAAGAAGGAAAACAGAGAGTTATCCCAGGCAGACCAGCAAACACCACTATTCAACATCTTCTTAGCTATCATGTAATACATAAGTGGAGGCTATCCTTAGCAAGGCTAAAAAAGAGGTAGACTTTGTTTGAGTCTCTCTTCTTTTATTAAACAACACATTGATCGTACTTCACAGTTTGTGGATCTAAAGCAGTTCTGTGGTTGGGACTGAGCGCACTCAGCTCTCTTCTGCTGGAGGCTGGGCGGCAGGGTCCACGGGGCTTCACCCACGTGCCTGGCACGTCCATCGGGGGGATGGATGCAAGGCCACACACAGCTGTGTCCCTCTCCCTCCTCACAGCAGCTCAGGGCTGCCACGAATGGAGTGGGCTGGAATGGAAGCTTCCAGTCTTGTTCAAGGCCAGCTACTCCAGTCGGTCAGAGCTTCGCAAACCAGTGCTGACTTGAGAAGAGAAACAGACCCCACCTTGGAGTCTCTTTTTTAACGTTAAAATTCAATAAGTCACATTGCGTAAGTTCAATTGTCATCAGCCACCGTGAATGAGAAATAATAAATAAAAAGCAGGGTGGTAGAGTGTAGGTGGACGGGTTCTGTATGTGTTTGCCAAGAAGAACCTCCGTTCTCAAATCACTCCTTTCCTTACTGCTATGTTATTTAAATTTTAGCCACTGAATTCGCTTGTGACTTGTTAGTACCTTCAAAGACATTTTTTAAAATGCATAATCTGTTGGAGATAGATATACATTATGTTGTTTTCAGTCACTATCACTAACATCTTACTGTGAATTAACCACATGTATTTCCCTGGAGCTGCTGGTAATGGATTATAAAATGTTATTGGAAATGTGTGTTAAATGGGACATCTCAGCCACCCCCCATTCCCCACGCGCAATGCTGGAAAAACCGGTGGCTCAGGAAAACCGGGAGCATGCTGAGGGCGCCCCTGGGAATATGGGAGTCAACAAAAATTTATACTCTCAAACCATCAGCACACATGTGCTGCCAGATAGTTCTTTAATTCCATAATCCTAAAATAATTAAGCTAAATTATTCCCCCTACCTTTTTTTTTCTCAGTTGTGATTCTGGAAGTCCAACTTTCTTTCACAGGCTATTTTACTCTAGTACATTTTTATTACATTTCTTAGCTGGATGCTAATTATGTCATTAGACTGGAGCAATGTTATTTTGTTTATATAATGGCACAGGTCTACAGCCAGTAAAGCTAGTAACTTTTTCTCACTGTGGGGGGTGTACGAGCAGATAGACTGAGACGGCAAACACGTGTGATTTAAGTACAGTGTTGCTGCTAAAGGAGATGGACATATTTGACGGTAGCCCCAGGAAAGCTTCGTGCATTTAGTTTGTAATCCTGAGGCTTTCAGGAAATCCAAGGTTCAACAGAATTTTAAAGCCTCTGTTGAAACAACATATTTTCTTTTCACCTATGCTAGGAGAAAAGGGCTCTTCTCTGACTGTTGAGTGAACTCTTTAGAAAGGATTATGAGTTTCCAAATGACTGAGAGTCTGCTTTTAGAGCTGCCAGTGGAATTAATGCATTCCAGCTATCAAGTTATTATCTCCAAACTGATGACAGAGAAAATAAATCAATAGATCAGAAGTCCCTTGTGATCCCGTCACTTTACCCCTTTAATTCAGGCCACTGTTTTATACTAAAATTTTGCACTTCTTTTAAAAAGAGCTTTCTCAAATAAGCTTATTTCTCAAATTCCTCTAAAAAGAGGAATTTCTAAACCTTACATATAACTGAAATTCTGTTACTCTAAAGATAGGAGTTGGAAGTTCAAGCTTTTTTAATTTAAGATTTAAGACTGCCTCAGATTACAGCAGCGTATGGTGTTAGCCTGCAGGAATGGGAAGGGAGCACCCCTGATGTCAGGATGTTCCTGGCCAGGAAAGTAACTCGAGTGTTGTTCCTCAGACCAGATCAGTTCCTGACTCAAAGAGAACTAGTGAGAACTTTCTAGATCAGCTGCTTGTTTTATGATGACAGGACTCATAAAATGCTCCTTTTATTGGGTGCACACTTTGGGGAAATAATTTTGGATAGTTCTAAATGATTTGCATGTGTCTTTATGGTGCGCAGAACTGCTCAAATATTCTCGTCAACCATAGCAGAGTGAAACTTGTCCCTTTTCCTTCCAGGACTTACGGATTAATTTATAAATATTGACATTTTGAATTGATATGCTGTTTCCAAGTCTTTGGTGGCTTGTCTGGTTGGAAATGCTGAAACTTTGACCCTGATCAGTTACCATTACCATGTTTGTTTTGTGTATAGATACTGCGACAGATTACGTGTAACCTTTCCAGAAAACGTCTGTGCATGAGTTCAAGTGCCAAAATGTTCACAATTTTCGATATTCTTCCTGGACTCATTTGATCTTTGTTTCTCACCTTTCTCCCCACGCAGTGCATTCTCTGTTGAAGTCTGCATTTAATAGCATAGCTATAGAGAAGGAGAAGCTTAAGCAGATGGTTTCTGAGCAGGAGCACAATAAAGGCCACAGCACGCAGATGGCACGGCTCCGACAGTCACTGTCTCAGGTAAACAACAGCGTGTGTTTCTTGCTCGTAACACACCTCCACCCCTGTGCTGCACCGGACAGAGGTGGAGGCAGTCGGTCACGGGCGTGGCAGAATCGTCTGTAACTCTCCCAAGACATTGAGTGTCAATATTAAATTTTGTTACTTTTCTTGCATAGAAGGTCAGGGCTAAGGGCAAAATCACCCAAACTTACTTGCAAATATATACTTATTTTGGCTGACTGAATACTATTAATGCCTCTCCACGGTCATGTATAAGGCAGTCCCTGGTTTTAAAATAAAAGAATCGCGCACTTACACATGATTTACACTTCTGAGATATGGTCAGGAATATATTCCATCCAGTGTTAGAACAAAGTCTGTTAGGCCTTCCATTCTTAATGTTTTTCCCACTTGCAGTGCATTTCAACCTGTTGAAATACTGATTACTGTTTTCCTTTTTTTTTCTGATTTTCACTCTTAGGGTTTTCTTCCTATTTAAGTATGTTCCCTAAAGCTAGACTGTCATTTTTCAATATGTATTATATGTATAGTATATGTTGTTCAGTATATATTCATTATATGATATTCCATATATATTATATTTCTCTTATGAATATTAATTAAATCCCTATGTATATCAAAATTGAAATTTCTGACAAAAATCCTTTAAAGCTATGCTTATGCTCTTCTACACTGAGTACTTGCTCTGAAATAAAGATTTTCTTTAGTCTGTAAATGTGCTTTAAAAATTTCTTTGAGAATTCAGTGTTATGTGATTTTTGTGTGAGAACTCAGTGTTCATATAAAATATCGTTCACTTCCTGGTGCCTGGGATCAGAGCGAAGGAGCGAGCAAGCCCTGGGTAAGTGGTTTCCGTGCGGATCAGCTCCTGCTTGAACACTTCCCCGCAGTCCCGGGGAACTGGACCTCAGCTGTCTCGCCATGTTTTATGTACCTGAACTGTCAGCTTATTTTCAATGTGACATTCCATGTTCTTGAGCGCTGTTACCTGGGCCACGCTTTCTGCATTCAGTTCAGGTGAAACACAGTCGGTTAGGGTGCCTGTGCCGCTTCCCGTGTGACACCAGGGACTCGGGGGCATGAGTGTTAAAAACAGCAACTGTCGGCCAGTCTGCAGAGGGTTGCGTTCGTAAGCACGTTAATGGCTTTCCCTGGACTAGTCTCATGCCGTGTATTTGTTAACACAAACAGATAACACGAGTCGACATTAATTGTCCTTCTAGATCATTATCCTGAGAGTATTGTGAATCAGGCGATCAAAATAATGGTGAGACAAACATGTAAATGCCATCTTATAAACATAAAATGCACCCTTATTCTCCTATATGCTACAATGTTTCCTTCAGGTGTATTTATTGGTGGAGGCTTAGTACTATAAGATTAAGCTTGTACTAAGAAAAAAATGTGTTTCTTGCTTGCTTGCTTGGTTTTATTTACTTTTTGGTAAGACAGAGGATGGTAAAAAGAGATCTGGGTTGAGGCATCAAGTGAAATTAGAAATGATGCTGAAGAGAATTTTAAAAGTTACTCACTTGTTTATTCCTTTATTCATTGTATCGCATTCACCTGACTGTATATGTGGTGTGCGAGGTGTGCGCAGTGTGGAACAGCAGTGCAGAAGCAGCCCTGGCCGTGCTCCCAGGAAGCTCATGGTCTGATCCATGAGATAAGTGGTGTTTATCAGGGAACAGTTACACTGTGGTCCGTTCAGATGGGCGCGTGGGTGGTGCAGATTTCTGGGGCTGCGAGCAGAGCCACCGGTCAGGAGGCATCGAGCCTCGAAGCAGGCATGAGTGGGCAGCAGCAGCAGCTCACAGGGAAGGACCTGATGCAAAAAGTCAAAAACAAAATAAAGCAAAATGTTATCAGCTTTGTATCCATTGGGTCAAATATTTTCTTCTCTTGTCAAAACATATTTATTTACATATAGACCTAGAGCCTCAATAAATTTTTGTTGTTTTTTTCTAGTTACATTTATTTTTTTAACCAAAAAGCTCAACTTTATCCTCAGAAGATGTAAAAATAATTTGGTACTATAAAGATGGTTAATTGTACTTTGCTAGAGAATTCAGTGCTTCCAGTCGTGGATTAGCACAGCCTTCAGCTAGGTTCCCACCCTCGAGCCTGTCTGTACCTTCCCCTTGGGCCAGCCTTACCACCCGGGCCATCTGCTCGCACCACCGCTGAGGCTGGCCTCTTTCTGCAGCTCACCGTAGCCTTTGCTCCAGCATTTAAATTTACTGTCTGCTCACTCTTTAAAGAATCACTACCTGGGGTTAGACCACTGGAGAGGTATCCGCAGACTCACGGTTAATTCAGGGTCTAAAACATGGGGTGAACAGGAAGAGTCAATCTAGGAGCTGCGAGTAATGTAGCTACGAATCTGCTCACCAAGGACAACACGAAAAGGTTTAGATTTATCATGCTGGGAGGCCTTAGTTGAACTGATGAGTGATAATTTCAGAAATGGGAAGCATTACTACCTATTTCTGTACATTAGAAAGATTACTCCGGTACAGTATGGAGGACGGATGGTACGAAGGTGGAACTAAGATATTTGAGATAATGCAGACCTGAGCTAAGGAAGTGAGGGGTTGGGAGAAGGAAGGGATGGGTTTCAAAGACACCGAGAGGGGGAGGCAGCAGAGCTTGGAGAGCGACAGAAGATTAGAGAGGGACAAGGAGACAGACTCGAGATTACTTTCTAGGTTGTTTACTGGGATGATTGAGTAGATGGCAGTTCTTCCCCACCCCCACCCCCCCCCCCCATGAACCACCAGAAGAACTGGTTTGGCAAGGGTAAAGAGTGAGCGGCATCTGTGGGGAGCCAATGTGACTGTGGACGACTGACAGGCAATGAGTTGCGTGGATCGGGGCTCAGGAGAGAGGTGGGGCTGGAGAGAAGGGTGTGGATACACAGGATGTCGCTGAAGCTGCACGTATGATAAATTGTGTTTTCAGTCAGAATAAAAGAGGGTTGATGGTGCTGCTGTAGAAAACATTAATAGAGGACAGGCTGAACAAAAGTAGGCTCCTTTGATGGAGACCCAGGGAAGGCCGCTGAAGAATCTAGATGGTGATGACCATTGAGATCAAGGGTAAAGAGTTTTGAGAGTGTCAAGAAGGAAATGATGAACAGAACGTGCTTTAGCAGCAGATAATGTGTGGACCGAAAGCAAACATGGGAACATTGGTGGTGGGGAACAGTGAGCTGACGGAGCCATCCATTGGCTGGCCAGCTCTCTTTTCCTTGTCCCTCTTTTAATACAGCACTTAAGAGTTGAACAAGATATTAAATAGCTTGAGAACACTGCTACAGTTTTTCTGAATATGTTTTGATATTAATATAACTTCACACTATACTGTGATTTTTGATAGCCTAAAAATATCTTTGATCTTATCTAAGTGTCATCAGTTAAACCCCCAGATATCCATTTTATGACCAGTTATCAGCCAAGTCTCCTCGTACAGAGGGAAGGAGAGAGAGACTGTGTTTAAGTAACATCTTACACTAATCTAACATTCTTAAAGCATATTTTTATTTGATGTAAGTCCTGTTTGATACATGTCTAATGGTTAAAATGCTGCTTTTCAGTAAAGCTTTTAAGTATACCCACTTGGCAGATTCTGTCACCCCTTTTAGAAAGCACATAGCACATAAAATACATGAAACATTAGCATTCGTCACTGCATGTTCAGCATAAATTGTTGCCTGCCTTGGGCATGTAACAAGTTATAAGGCTGCACAGTATAATGAATCCCTCTTCCTAAGTGATTATTTCTTCCCTGATCGATATGTACAAAAAGACATGCATAATCCTGTTATTTTGCCTCCATGAGACTTTAAAAGTAACCTTCACACCTGAGAGCTGTATGGATGCTGGATTTGAGTCAGTAGGTCAGAGCATGTCATGTGACATCTATCTCTTTATAAGTGACATTATTTCACAATGATTACAAGCTCATGTTTCATTGAATGTAAAACCCTGAACACCAAAATTAGAGTATTAGTAAGACTAAGGTAACCTCAGCCCTCCAGATTGCTATAATAATATTCAACTGGAGTCTGCCTTCAGTGTGTTACACTCAGTCACGGTTACTGATTTCTGGCCTCAGACTTTGTGCACAGCTTGCAGTGGGTGCTGGGTCCGTACGAACGTGAGCAGCAGAATGTGATCCTGTGCTCCATCTAGAAATGCTCTATTCCATTAAGTCGATGTGCCATCAGTTGTTTGATGTACCATCACTTTGTGCATTACTAAGAAGGAGTAAAAACTGCTGTCAGTTGAAGTGAGTCAGCGCTTCAGAGGTGTTAAGTGTGGGCGGAAATGTGCATCTTAGAATTAATGAAATGTGGTGTGCATTGGAATGTAAGCAAAAATTTGGCTTAATGCACAGAGTAGCATAATTAAAGTCCCAATCATAGTATTTTCCAACCTTCCTACTACAGCTTTCACATAACCCAGATAAATATTAAGTGTTGGGATAAAAGCTCCATATATATAGTTGATCTTGAATTCAACAGTTCCCAGAAACTTGGCTGGATTTATTCTGTACAAAGATATTCTTCATAGAATCTTCTACATGTTTTTTAGTTATACAGTAAATTCAAATTAATATCATTTGGGGCATAATTGGCAATATTTATTAAAGCCTTAAGAGATTTCATTCTTTGATCCTTTGGTCCATGGCTGATATGTGTAGTACAAGGAAGTAATACTGAATGTAGAAAACCACTATGCACTTAAATATTCATGGCAGCTTTATTTATTCTAGTAAAATTCAGTAGCAGTCCAAATGCCCAATACTAGGAAATAGCCACTGACTTAGCAACTCTTAAAATCATATTTGTGCCCTGACTCAGTTGGTTGGAGCGTCATTCTCCTGTATACCAAAAGGCTGTGCATACAATAGGCAACCAATCAATGTCTCTCCCTCTCTCAAAAAAAAAAAATAATAAATGTATCCTCTGGTGAGGATTTAAAAAAGAAAATTGTATTTTTGAAGAGTTTGCAACATAAGCGTTTATGTGCAAAGAATAAGTGGTAGACACAGCATGTGAAGCATGCACCTATTAAATAACATGAAACATGCATAACAAAAAAAAAAGATTACCAAGCTATCAATGTTTGATTGATTGAGTAGTAAGGTATGAATTTTAAAAAATATTTTCCTGCTTTCTGCATTTTCCAAATATACTAGAATAGTATATATTTATTCTAATTGAAAAAAAAAGCAAGGTGAATTTAAACACATACCCAGGATTTGATTCTTGGTTGCTCTAACTTGGACAGTTTCCATACTCATTTTGTCACTTCCTTTGAACCAGTTTGACTTTTCCCCAAAGGGTTTAAGTCTCTGATGATTCTGTCTTGGCCTGTGTTTTATGTCCTTCTCCAGCCCTCAGGCTTCTCTCCATGTTGCCTTCCCAGAACCCACAGTTCCATTCAGTAAAGTGTATATGCCAGTCTTGCCCAGTGTAAGGCACATTCACACCCCCTGTCTGCCTGGGTGGATGAATGGTAGTTCATAGCTAGAGAGATGGGGATTGAGGCCATTGATTCTGGCTCAGATCTTCAAGAGGATAACTTCTTTTACAGATGGGGAAGGATTTGTGTGTTTCTTGGGTATGTTAGAATTGCATGTGTATGAGGGACATGAGACATTGGGGAAATGGGCATACCATGTGGAGGGTCTTTAGTGCCGTCCAAGTTCACCAACAAATCAAGTAGTAGGTGTAAGCATGGAACCTGCCCGGCAAAGAATCTAGGCAGAGTTCCTGAGCCTTTTCCTATGTGCCACTAATAGACAGATGTTATTGCTGACAAGTCGCCATAGCTTTTCTTGCTCATTGGCTGACGTGGTAGCTGATGATGTGCCTCCTTTTTCCTTGTTTCATCCCTGTTCAGGCTCCTTGGGTGCCTTCCATGCATTGTTTCTGCCACTGCCTGGGCTCTCCTATGTTATTTATCACTAATAGCATCATTTCCCTGAAAATACCTGTATTTGTCAGTGTTCCAAAGGCTTCTGTGCTATCATTACAGAGAAAATAGTTGAGTTGCAGGAAGGGAAGTAATAAATGTGGTCCTGAGCACTCTCTGAGAGCGCTACACCACAGAGCTCAACAGCTGTAGCAAACTTCTGAAACAGTGCGTATGATCAAGGCAAAAGGAGGAGCCTCTGGGAAGGTGCACAGAAATGGGCTGCTGCATGCTCCGTTGTACGCTCTAACCTTCCGTCCTTGGGGTTGTCGGAGTTGGAGTCATTTCCACGCGTTTTTGTGCTGTGTAACAACTTCCTTCTACCACTGCATATGTATTACTAATAAAATATTCCTTTTAAAATTTTAGCTCATTCTCTATGGCTTATGATGATTCCAAAAGTTACAACTAAGAACATCATAGTCTTTGTTTAAAATGTACCTGTGTTCTTGTTCTGTCTTATGCTCACTTATTAACTTGAAGTTACATGTGTGGTTTTTGTTATTTTAAGGCACTCAACCAGAATGCTGAACTAAGGAGTCGGTTGAGCAGAATACATTCAGAATCTATTATTTGTGATCAGGTTGTCAGTGTAAATATTATTCCTAGCCCTGATGAGGTAAGACTCATTTTTAATAGATGTAGACTACTTATTTTATAGCATCTAAATCTACTGCATATTTTTGTTTATTTTTATATTTTTGTTCCTTCGCTGTTATTAAGATTCCTGGTATGAATATTTGTGTTGCAGACCACTCGCTGTTCTTTGGAGTAAAGGATATACATGAGCTTGATATCGTTTCTTCTTGGTGATCAGGGTCTATTTTTATCTTTCCTGTGTTCACCAGATGCCACTGAATATTTAGTTTACATATACACCAACTTGTGAATTTTCTGTCTCAGTCTTCATTTGAAATGTTCATATTATGAACATTTAGCTGAGAAAATGTTAAATAAAAGTTTTCTTAAAGTTTATTTTACAAGTCCTGCTCAGCTGGTATGGCTCAGTGGATTGAGTGTGGGCCTGTGAACCAAAGGGTTGCCAGTTCAATTCCCAATCAGCACACATGCCTGGGTTGCAGGCCAGATCAGGTCCCCAGTAGGGGGTGTGCCAGAGGCAGCCACACATTGATGTTTCTCTCCTTCTTTCTCCTGCCCTTTCCCTCTGTCTAAAATAAATAAATAAAAATAGAAAAAAAAAATAAAATGAAAGTCCTATGCAAGGAGTCATCTGACCTTTCTAAGATAATAATAATAATGATGGGGCTACAGCTACCACTGATGATGATAATAATTAATAGCTAACATTTGTCACGTGAATGCTTATTATGTGTTGGGTGTTGTGCTAACTCCCTTACATGCGGTTATCTCATCTGACACTCCCAGCGACCCTCTGAGGTTGGTGCTACTGTTTTTCCATTTTTCAGAAGAATTTTTGAAGAAGTGGTAATAGGATAGGAGAACATTCCATGTTTAGGTTGAAGTTAGGTGTATAATTTGTTTTATAACCCTTTATAAACGTATTATTTTAGCACCATGAGAATTAACACTTTTCAACAGTAATATTAGGGCTTTAAATAGAGTGCTACATATAGCAAGGTGAGAGTTTTAAGTAATACTAAGGTCATATTTGCACCCAAAACACATTTTACCCGAAACCTACAGGTGCAACTGTTCTACCATCTAACTGCTTAGATCAACCGTCTAAGGTGGCTTCCCCGTGATTCGAGCTGCCCACCATCTGTCCATTCCCCTGCCTGGGTCCCTTGATCTCTAATGACGGACAGCAATGCTTACTCAGCTGCCCGGGATCTAGAAGTATTTCTAAAACTTTGTCATTCAAATATTAGTTAACAGTCTTGGCCTGAAGCTTTTTTCAACCTGAAATGTGTACTAGAAATGTGTATTCTATATATATAGATTATATATACGTAGTTCTCTATATATGTAGTTCTCTTACATATTTTTCATATTAAAACTGAAATAGCTTCCTGGAGACCCATGTTTATCACTTGCTGGACAAAAAATAGAGTTTGAAACAAGGTTTAACTGCCTTTTAGATGCTTTAGATGCATTGGAAGGAAATTTATGCAGTTGTCATTACTGAGTTGCAAGTGAATGTTGCTTGTGGTCACAACTCTTTTAACATCTGGTGTGAAATTCTTCAGAAATCTGGCTAGCACGTCGTGGTCTAATTTGAACAAATAGCTATTTTTCACACCAATAATGACCACGCCATATGCTCATGCTTCTCTCTCCTGTAGGCTGGTGAGCAAATCCACGTCAGTCTCCCCCTGTCACAGCAAGTCGCAAATGAGAGCCGCCTCTCCATGTCAGAGTCCGTGTCTGAGTTCTTTGATGCCCAAGAGGTGCTCCTCTCAGCAAGCTCGTCCGAGAACGAGGTGAGCTTCCTTGATCTGTCAATCCCAGCTGCTTCTGACTGTGAGTCGGGTTTAAGGGAAGTAAGACTGTGGAACTTTTTATAACGTCAGCGTCAGATAGCCACATTGTCACAAAGCCAAAAGCATGCAAACTATGTTGGTTCCCATTTACTGAGTACCTAGCACTTATGAACATCAGCTGATGACTCTTGACCTGATGAATAATAGGAAAAAAATCAAGCATTTATTCTGATTCTCCTGTACGATTTATATTTCAGGGTAACAAAATAGTGGATGCCAGAGTCTTTTGTACAAGGAAACTAGCTAATAAATGTAGAAAGAATGAGAGAATTTGAAAATCATCATTCATGCTTGGGGGTGTATGTGCACACATTCATCAGTGTGTGCATATTACATAATATACGTGTGTGTGTGTGTGTGTGTGTGTGTGTGTGTGTGTCTTTGCCAGAGACATGAATTTGAAGGATAATGTCTAGCATATCTAGCTGGGTAATTATAATTTTTAGGTTACCACTGCCTGTCATAAAAGCTTTATTTGATTACTTTTCATGCTCATGAGTCTTGGCAAGGTCTTAGAAACAAGGAATCTCTTATTTGGTCAGGTTGCAGAAATGTATTTGTTTACTGCAATTCAGTCAAAAAAAAAAGTAGGCTTTTTTTTTTAAATGAAAGAAACTGCCAAAGCTCTTCCCACACAGTTAATTAGGAATTTTGTCATTTGAGATTGCAAATCTGTACTGCATTTTGACAAAAAGGAAACAAAATAGTTGCTAAATGTTATTTTTATATGCACAGAAAATAGGTTGGGAGGAAACATCCTGACAGTCGGTGTAGTTGTTTCTGGATGTTTGGAATTATGAGTGATTTTAGAAACATAAGTGGAAAGAGAAGGAAATAATAAACACATGTCACTTTTATAATAGAGAAAAGGTAAAATAGAATTCCTAAATCAGGCACTAAATTTGTTACCACACCGAGCCACGCACCTGACTCTCAAATCCCCAGTCATGCATTAACAGAGTCACAGGCTCCTGTTCACAAGCCAGAGTACTCATTTAATTATTCATAATGATAATTGATGCTATCAGATAGACAAAATAATCATGCTTGGTAATTAGTGTCTCTTTCCCTGAAGGCAAACCTGCATGGGAAGCCTAATTGTAGTCAGGAGGTGGTTTGGCAAGCAAGGAGAGAATGGGAGCAGGAGAAGTGAGCTGAGGGAACTCGAGGCCGGGCCGGGGGCCCAGGGTATAATCGCTTCAGCCTTTTATCTCCGTTACCGGATGCTCTGCCTCGTGGGTGGGATGTTTGTGTCTGTGAGCCAGTCTCTGCACCCTGGGACCACCATGCTGGAGGCGTGCTCCCAGCATTTTCTTTTCTGACTCTTCTTTTTCTGAGCTCCATTGCTAACCAGTCCTTCATCCTTCAATCAGGCTACTGTCAAACTTGACTCTGCATCATCTGGGCTCTGACCCACCATGTGGTGGCTATAGCTCATCTCTTAGAAAGCAACCTTATTTTCATTTCCAAGTTTTGGGGCATACCCAACTAGGAGTCCAGTTGCCACTTGCACCAGACACTAGCAATGCAGAAATGAAGAGGACATGGAGCAGGTTATTGCGCAAGTCTAAGCATTCTGGTGGTGCCACCCCCAGGGGAAGAGTGAACCTAGTGGCCGAGGGAGGGACAGAGGAGTAGAGGAGAGATGGGCATGGGGATGATTGTTCACTTTGAGACATTGTGAGTTCACCAGACTTCTCAGTGGCGTTATCTGGCCAACAGATGGCTAAACAAGCCTAAAGCTCAAACAGAGAGCAGTTGTGAAGAGAGAGCAAGAGTGGGCCAGGACCCACATAACCAGATGGCAGAGAGACACTGCCACCTGGGTGCTCTACAGAACCTCTAATTCAGCGTGTCGCAAAAGAGAAATCAATAAACCTCTTACACACATGTGCACACACCAAAGAGAAACACAAATGTGCCCAAACTTCTCATATTTCTTATCTAAGTGCTCTTCTCCCCCAGTGTTCACATCACATACCTGGGTACTTTGCTCCACTCCTCTGCCTACATTGAGTCATCATCAGGTTCTATAACTTGTCAGCTACATCCTCTCAGAGATGCACATTTTCCTGCAGCCTCACTGCCGCTACCCGGTTCAGCCCTCCATCATCTCCCCACTTAGGTTGCTCAGTCAATCCCCATAACTGGTTTTCCTGCCTCCCTTCTTGCCCCTCTAATCCATTTTTCACTGGGCAACACAGTTAATCTTTCTAAAATGCAAATCTGATCATGTTCCTAGTCCCCAGTGTCCTTAGAGTAACAATCTAAACCCCTTAGCTGTCGTACAAAGTCCCATCCACACAGCTGTCCACTCTCAGCGGCAGCCTCCTGCAACCTCTGTGCTTGCAGAGGCCTCCAGTGGCCAAAACAGTGATTCCTGACATTGTCAATTCACCAGGTCCTCCAACCACCCTGGAAAAAACTGCACCCTTTCCTCTTCCCTGTGCCTGTATTTTCATAAAATAGCCTTTTACTTAAAACTTCTCCCTTTATCACAGCACTCAGTCTTCAGTGTCTGAAGAGGCTAGACCAGGAGATAAACCCCAGTGACAGGCACCACGAGGGTCTCAGAGCCATCCCTCCCTTGGGCTAAGGCTGTGACTGAGTCAACCCCACCTGCTGAGTCTCTGAGTTCCCTTGTGATCAGATCCCTCTAGAGGGCTCCTCAGGTCTTCACACCAGCAGACTTGGCAAGCCCACCTGGCTAGCTTACTTCCAGGTGGGACTCCTAGCGGCAGCCGCAGAGTAGGACCAAGCTGCATGTTCTCAGTACAGCTGCCAAAGGAGGTCGGGCCTCTGCACTTGCCTCCCACCCTGGCTGAAACGTCTCCCAGAGAGCCACGTGTTCAAATCCCTCACTCCCTTCAGTCCCCTACTCAAAAGTCACTGTCAGAGGAGCCCATTCAGCTGCCCTCCCTGGCAGAGCCACCATTTCTTCCTCTCCCCGACCTTCCATATCCCTCTTCTCGCCTTATTTTGTTTCCTTAATGCTTACCACTGTTTAACAAAATGTACGTTTCAGATATTTCACTTGTTTGCTGTGTGCTCCCCCCACTGGAATGTAACTTTCACAAGGAGCAGGTTTCCCCACTGTGTCCCCAGCCCTAGAGCAATCTGGTGAGCCCAGAGCAGGTGGTCCACAAGCGTTTGCTAACTGAATGAAGGGAGGGATGCTTCAAGCACCCTAACACATGATTAATCTGGGAAGCATCTGACCATTAGCTGTATTACATTGACATTTTCCATAGCTGAGAAAGAAATGTATATGCTATCTTACCAGGGCACCTGAATTCTTTTCTTTAAAAATGTTCTTGATTCCAGAGAGATCTACTCCTTCCTCTGCTTTTACTGAGTTTTGCAATGCTACATGCCTGGTTGCATTTAGGAAGAAATATTTCCTGAACTCTTTTGAATCTCTAAGCCCCTAAAGAGAAATATTTGGCCCCAGGACTTTTTGACCATGGGGTAGAAAATGAATATGTATTTACAGTTCTATTATAGTACTGCAAGCCTTGACTTGATAGATAGATAGATAGACAGATAGATAGACAGACAGATAAATAGATAGATAGAAAGAAAGAATGTGAGTGGACCAGACTTCCGCCAACCTGAGCTACTGCTCACACATGTCATAATGTAGATCTTACAGGGGACTCACTGCCGTGGTAGAATTCTTTTAGAGTCCACATGGACTGTTCTTCATGGATGTGGATATTGGGCCGTTTCCATCACTTACTAGTTTGAGGGAGATTAGAAATTGAAGAGGAATAGACTCTTTGTAGCTTTTTCTCACAAAAACATGTTTTCTCAACAAACACTCAACCAGTAAACATGCGTGCAGCATGAATTTGGTTTGGGTAGTTATTTTTTCTCCTCTCACATAATTGTGTGCCATTAGCTTTTTTTCAGAGAAACCACGTGGAAAAGTTTCATTTACTGTTTTTCTATCAGGCGTAAGAGGGTGGTTCTCATGAGCCTAGTGGTGGAAGCTTCATCTCTGTTGCCGTCAACGGGAACGGAGCTGAAGCCAGCTGTGTTGGGAAACCACAAATCAGGAAAAGACTGCATTCTCAGTGGGCTGTCTTTATAGACTTGCCCAGTGTGCAGAGGCAAAACCACCATTTATACATGCAGTTATTCTGTCCATCACTCTGTTCTTCCTCAGTGGTGAGCTTTTCCCAACTCTAATTTTTTAAATATCAGCAATAAATACAGAAACCCTAAGGGCAAAGACTTACTGTTTTTATTACATACAAATTTAGAACTTTTATGTGGCAAAACAAATTGGCACAAATAATGTTAAAAAGTAAATTGCAAACTAATAAAAAAAATACAGGCTATACGACAAACTGAAAAATGTGTGAAATATAAGAAAAACTAACAAAAATGAAATTCAAACTTTAAAAAGAGATCTTTTATTTATGATAGGTAGATGGATGCTGAAGAGGTTGCTAATGTGTACTGCTGGCCTGGGCGTGGAGAGGTGGACGCTCTCGTGCACTGCTGGTGGGGACAGTTGCACTCAGTCTTTCAGCAGAACAATTGGGCAACATAGCACTAAAGCCTAGAAGTGACCCATTTGACCCAGCAATTTCACCTCCAGAAATAATAACTGTTAAAGACATTGCCGGACAGCCTCACAGAAATGTATTACAAGGATGTTCATCCAAGTATTATCTATAGTAATAAAAATTTGGAAGTAGCTTAAATGCTGCTTCAGTTCCCTGTGTCATAACTGTCTAATGAGGTACATTGTCACACCAAGTAAAGATCCCGGACTATATTTATTAGAATATATTCAGAGCATTATCACATAATACGTAAACTGACTTTTTTCATGTATCAATATGTTTGTATTGGCATTTCGAAATTGGAGGTAATACTCACCAAATGTTAAAAGTGTTGTTGTTTTTTAGATGGTGGGATTATGGGTGATT